TGCAGCGCTCGAACGTGGCCCGCCAAAAATTTAAGGTCTGAGACCCCTCGTTCTAGGCCATGTCCTCATCAGTGCGATAGAATGAAATCTGATGATTCTGATGAATTTGATCTACTGATTAGAATATCTTGAATACAAGGGATATCTGAGTCTCCATCTGCTTCTCGGTGGGGGGCGTCCACGGCTACTCTGTGAGACCGATCTTGAGACTTCGCGCTCAGTGTAGCTTAGCTGCGAGCGTAGAGCCGAACGAGAGCCCTGACGGAGCTCATCTACGAAGCTAAAACTCTCGTTGTCGGGCCTCGGGGACTCTCATTGTCAGAGTATAATATGATTCTCCGATCGGCATTACCCAAGCTCGACCCGACCCCCGAACGAACGCTGTGCCCAAGAGCAGGCCCGCTGCCTCCAACATCGCGTACTACGCCGGTTGCGTCGTGTATACTCCGTGATCCACCGTCTCGAGAAGGAGATGGATCCGCTGAGCGACGATTTTCTACAGCAGTCACAGTACCCGCCCGTTTGCACACCACGGAAAGATGCTCAAGGCCTTTCGAGAGGAGCCACGCTGAATGCTTTTTCGAGCCGACGGAGTGCGCGAAGAATGATGCTTACGGTCGCCTTCTCGTACAATACAACCCAGCATGGACTCCCTCAGTGATTCGAAGATGATTCCCAGATGGGTTATATCCAAGACGACAGGGAAGGCCGCTCCACAGGAGGAAGAAAAACAGAAACGGAACCTCAACGAGGAACTGGAGAAGCTCGGAAACGAGCTCCTCAGTTCCCCGGACAAGACAACCACACAGAAAACTAAACAGGAACACCGTGAGCACGGAGCGGCTGCGCTGGTAAGAACTCTCGGAGGCGAGGTGTTCATTCGAGCCAAGCACTTCCAGATCTTTGAGCAGCTCAATGAAGTGACGCGATCGATGAGGGAAGCCAAACTCAATTTAGAAAGGGAGAATCTCGGGGCTGAAACCGTCGATGTGGCCGAAGTGTCGAGGAGGGTTTCGTCGCAGCTGAAAAAAGTATCAGAGCGGGAGAGAAAGGCTCAGGAGCATCAACATTAGAGACGTTCCCCAAAGTCGCCGAGCCGATCAGGAGGGTCGCGAAAACGAAAGGGAAGTACTGGCCGTCACTAGCCGGAAAGCGTCGAACGTGACCTCGAAATTGAGCCTGACGCCCACAATCGTCAGGATCCTCGGCCAAATCCAAGGTTCCCTTTCGATCTGAAGAGATATACGACCTCCGCTCGGAGTTCGGCAGATCTACATTGTCTCCGAGCTTATCGCGTACCACCTCATAGCCGCGGCAAGATGAGTCTCAGGAGAACCTTGTACAAATGTATGTGAGGTAACCAGATCAAGAGCTCGCAGAATGGAGGTACAGCTCGGAGGGAAGTACGCGACACGAATATTCGAAGGTCGGCGGATGACATTCCGAGCCAAACTTCTTTTGACGAGAAGTAAAACGCGTTTCAGTAGAAGTAATCGCTTCGGTAGAGGAAGGCTGAGGCTCGGACATTTTTCAGGCTGCGTGGCTTCGCGGATCACCGGATGATTAAGCGATCCCGTTTGTCGGTCCCATCGGCATTGCAACACAGCAGCGCCGTCAGCGATGCTCAATGGCCAGCGGACCCCATCACAGTCTGAGTTCGGCTTCTGTCGGTCTCCAGTCCTCCGTTCCGTCCCCTCTATCGAAGCAGGGATCTTCAACGAATCATTTCCCTGCAGCCACGGAGAGCAAGTGATCCCTGAACCACCAGTTAGGAAGAGCTTTCACCAAGTGACACAGGTTTCAGATCCCACGGCCACGGAAGAATCAAGTTTCTCGAGCGATTCCTCTCTGTGTTGAGACTTGACAGCAGCTGTTCATACAGCTTCCACCTGTTCCGGAGTTTTCTCTCTCTCTCTTTGTGTATCGAAGCCCCCTCTCCCCCTCCCCCTTCCCGTTCGAACCAATCGCTCAGAGCTGTGCAGGGACGCGACTGACAAGAGTTCGGAAATTCGAAACTCGACTCCGACCGACTTTCAGGCTCACAGGTGAACGATACTCATTTGTGTCAAAAATAAGATCCGTTTATTGAACCTCTGTAGGAAGGAAAAACAATGCTCGTCGCTTGACATATCATTAAATGAATGTACTTTACCGTTGAGGAGGTTGACATCAGGGGCAAGCCCGACTGAAGTTCGTGTTTGTACAAGTTACCTAAGCGAAACAACAAGCTCCGGTGCAACCGCCTCGAAGTTATCACTGCGATGAAGCCGGTCGGCAGAGTTGCTGACATAAGTGTAGAGCGGCACAGTTGAGTCTCCTCTACTTACGGTGTGAGACCTTCGGGAGCTTGCCTGACATTTCACTTCCGTCGCGAGTTGGCAGTTGAAGACTTGCACTGACGACGCTGCCCGCTCGACCGTCATTTATGCGATTACTCGGTGACCCGCTCTCATCCACATCGAGATGTCTGGGTTGGTTCATATGTACTCCTGCATCGGATGGCAGGCTCGAGTATTTGAACACCACTCGAGTCGCCGTTGACCATGGCCTCCCCCGAAGTTTCGCTGGCGAGTTCTGGGCTGCCGGAGGTTCCCTTAGATCGGAAGATTTTTTAATCGTAGTTTGGAGCTTGCCCGAGAAGCAACTCATCTTCTCGCAACCACCCTCGCATGGGACAGGGAATTATGCCACAAGAAGCGCCGGCCGATGGGTTGCAGAAATCGGGCCCGTGCTACATCTTTCATCTTGGGGAATACCCCCTGGCACGGGGTCGCCACCCTCATCAGGTGGCCCCCATGAAAATCCGCCCGGTCTTGTCAGACATTTCCGAGTTGCGGCCTCGCCTCGCCGATGAACTCTATACATGTATCGCTCCGTCATGTTTCGAGGTAAAGTGAAGTGGTGGCTATGGAGTTGTGAGGTGATAGGATAAACGGTTTGCATACTATCTCCACTGAACTTTTTGGCGGGACCACCATCTCCGATGTGCGTGAGCAGAAGGAGGAGCTGGCGAGAGGGCTGCCGATTCTCGGTTTGATAGATTCTACCCGGAGCGGAGGCGAGCTCTCGTTTGACAGCGAGCTACTGTAGATACTTTGCAACGGTCTCGGAATCGCTCCGACTGGATACTTGATGGAAGGATGGCGGGCTTTCAATATGCTGGTCGATGATTGAATGCAGGTCGATGAATGGAACCCGGAAACGGCTGTTCAAGACCGGCAGTAGTCGCATCCGTCTCCAGTGTTCACGACATTTGCGCAAAAGACGCTTTGCAGTCCAAGACATTTCCTCGGACGATGGCGTTCTGGTCTCCCAGGAAGTCTTTCAGTTCCTCAATACCATCGAAACATAGACTGTCCTGCACAAAATCCAACGGCAAATCTGGACGAAATCTATAAAAACACAAATCATGTTAGTTGCTTTGAAGCTCAAGCGCATCGCCAGGCATCACAAAGGAACCCCCAGGAGCCCTCTCGGAAAATGTCGATCCAGCAAAACGACGCGATCGTGAGCGTCGACGAGAGCATTGCTCATCGAGGAAAAGGTCAGCCAGTTTTTTTTGGTTCAACGAGCGAATCGACGAGGGATCTCGATCAGAAGGAATAGGTGGATCTTCGCTAGTCCCCAATGAGGAATTCGACTATGAGTCACTGCAGACTGAAGCGATAGGCGGATTATGACCGAGTCGATTAGATCATCATCTGGGGCAGCTATCATCACGAACATTGATCCTCGATCGCATATCGCCCGATGCATATTTCCGCTCATGAGGCGAACCGGGAAGGAGAGACCAGCCACCTCCCCCTCGGGGAACAGGTGGTTCGATTGTATACGGGAACGTAGAATCGATTTCTGAGCGAGCAACCCCGTTCAGCGTCAGGGCATCCGGAAGCGGGATTCTCGAAGTATACGACGTCGTGACTAGAGTTGTGCTCTCTAACAGCAGCGGTACTTCAGCCCCACGAGCAGTACTTACCAGACTGTGGGCAGCCGACTAGATTCCCCCCGACCAAAACATATGAAACCCTGACTCTGCCTCGGAGGAACTCGCAAGTCGGTCCCGACGAAGCAACGCACCTCCCGGAGAGATCTCTCCAAAAACGTTTTTCACCCACCCCGACGCAATGCCCCACAACCAGAATTCGCCTAACCGCCAGTACATACGCTTTGACTAATGCCTTATAGGCCGCAATTCGCTCCTTGTCCAAACACCATTCCATGACATAAGGTGACATTCGAGGAGCGGACCGAAACAGTTTGAACAGTCGATTGAAGTTTCTCGTGTTCCAAGCCGAAATTACGCGCACCGCATGGGAGATCACCGGGTCCTTTCGCTCGACGCTCGTAAGCGTTGTCACCGTGTCGTTAATGTCTGCAAGGAAAACGGTTTCACTCAGTCGAGTATCGAAGGCCGACTGAGAACGACGAACATCTGAATTGACCCTCTGAACGAATAGATATTTGCACCTGTAAAGCAATATTGAGATCCGGTACGTACCAGTGACATTTTCGGTGAATACTTGGTAGAGCAATTTGTACCCGATGAACTCGGACCGATGCTCGGCCTCGGGGAACTCCGCGTAAAGGGACATGAGTTGTGTCTGGCACTGGTTGAATTCTTCGTGATCGCCTTTCTCTAGCGCGATTCGCGCATGTGTTTCATACACCTCAATGGTGAAAAGCGTACGAACGCATTGTACGGTGAGATCCTGACGGAGGGACTTAAGCTGGTCACAGGCATAATGGTAGTCCTGTTTCGTGATCCAGTGCTTTTTGATCATTTCAAGCGACTTCCTCAAAATATGCACCGGTCGCACCGTGCTAGCGTCGGGGGCGGAAGTGAGACGGAAGTACGCTTTCTCAATATCGGTGCATGTGCCCTCAATGGCGTTCTGCTGCCAATCCTCGTACGAGTTATCGGCGAAAAGTGTGGAGTTCATCGACATATCTGTTTTTCGAACTTTGACGGATTGCTCTCCACCGAAACGTCTTGCCCGTTTCTGTAGGACGCTCGGGTCGCAATCTGACTCATCGTCGAGAATTTTTCGGCTGAACTTTTTCTTCTTGAGCGAAGTCGGACCCTTTGAGTCCTTATCGCGACCGCTGCCACTGTCATCGTCGTCGACAACTTTACCCCCCTTTGTGAAGCTCAACCTATCGATGACCGATTTGCGCTGTTTGTGCGAAGGGGTTGAGAGAGAAAGAAAATCGTTCTGGTGCTTCTCGTTCGATTTCTTATCGCTGTCTTTGCGATTGGATTTCGCGTTCCTGACGACCGATGAAACGGTTTGCAAATCGCTCGATTTCCTAAAGTCATGTCTCCCGTCAATCGCTCGATTTCCGTTAGATGTATCGTCCGACGAAGTTTCGGCAGCGTATGAACTCAGAGATCGCCGATTTTTCTCTCGTTCCTTCTCCTTCAAGAACTCTTCACGTTCTCGCTTCAACTTCTGTTGTCTCTCTTCAGCTTCTCTCTTGGCCTTCTCCAATGTTTCGCTGTAGACTGTCGGCAGAGCTTCCTCGTCCCAGTTGATGCTCCACAGTCGGTCGGTTTCGATGGCTGCCGTTATTTTCCCTGCAAGGAGGCGCGAGGAATTAGTTCGATTTTGAATCTCAGGGCCTTGAAGGGCGAAGAGCTAGTTTGTGTTCGCCGAGAATGGAAATCTATCAGTTATGCCATGGCTATCGGATTCTCACCTTTGAGGATGATTTCCACTTGATTCTTGTCGAATCGGGATTTGCATTTCGAAAATGCCCGCGCCGCGTATTCCTTCAGTTTGGGTGGCCAGGTTGTTTCGTCCAGAGCGTTCTTACTCTGCCGACCCGGAGTCGAATCGGCATCCGCGAGATTCTTGGCGCTCGAGCCGATCGCGCCCTTTTGTTGAGGTAGTGATTGCTTGCTAATTGGCGATCCCTTCGTCTGACTCCCATACTGTGCCTTACCTAAACCATTCGTTGGTCGTTTTGGGATTTCGGGAGCCGCTGTTGTTTGATGATTAGCGGGTGTATCTGCAATCATTTCGGAGACGCTGAATGTCGACTCCATTCAATCGGTGGAATCATGATGTCCGCTCTCTTCAAAAAGCAGTCACAGTTACTCACAGTGTTGCGGAGGGGGAATGGCGGCCGCTGCTCGTGGACGAGCGTTTTTTTGACGAGGTCCAACACCCCATCCCCAAGGCGCGGGCGGTGGAGTGGCATAAGATTCATATCCTGTCCCGTAGTACAGCATGTTCGTTCTATTTTTGTATGCCCAATCATTGACCGGAGTCCAATAGGCGCCGTTCTGAACTCCGAAATTGGAGCTATCATCCACGAAACTCTGTTGTACCATAGCCATCGCGGCTGACTGACTCACTGCGCTCGAAGATGTACCTTGAACCTTGAACGATTGGAGATCGAATCAGTCTCGAGCGAGAGCACCGCAGCGCTCCGAAGGAGCTCGCAACAGCCATCGCTGAACACAGAAATCCATGTTCAACTCACCTTTTGTAGTTCTTCCATTGCTTTCTGCCATGCGGGCGTGGCGAACGAGCTTGCGCCCCCCACAGTGCCCTGAGGACAAGATTGCACGGCATTTGTTGCCGAAGGGAGCCCCGGAGGCAGAGGCAAGTCTGAGAGTTCAATATCCATGGTGGAATTTGAACTGTTGATACCTGAAAACTGCAGAGACTCTTTTCAGTGAAGGACAGAAAACATGAGATTCCACTCCCTTAGACACGCCTCACATCAGATCGAGAGAGATACGGATAGCAGAGCTGTTTCTGCTATACCCGTCAGCCAGAACACTGGGTCTGAGAGCGTAGCATGGAAGCGAACTCAAGACTTTATCTGAGGGGACGCCGTATCGAGATTCCATACATTATGGAAAGCCATCCGATTGGGGTTAACATCAGCGGATCGTCGAGGCCCCCTACACGCTCAGAGGTTGAAAAATTGTTGTACATGTTTTTTATTCCAAAAAGAGGCATGATACTCGGTGCAATCATCCCAAATTCCAACTTGACCGATCCACTGCGGAAATTCTGGACACCATTCGGAGCTCAAAATATCCGGTCCTCTCATAGATCAACTGCGTGATGAGAAGCATCACGGGCGGCAGACGAAGTCACTGCAAGCTCATCCTGAAGTTCTCTTCACTGAACACCAGAAAGTAGGGCATTTCTAGAGGCGGTATGCCTCCCCAATAGACCCTTCAACGAACCACACAGCTTCCGATAGACGAAGCTATCAGGGAAATACGCAGAAATTCAGAGCGATAGGTATTGCGCCGCAGGGCTTCGGCTACGAGAAACGGGTATGCGACTCATACTGATGCATTGAGCGAACGCCTTCATGCCGTGATAGATCGCACACCCGATGACGCCAGGCAACAACGATCGAAAGTTATCCTCACCGCTCAGCCGACAATGAGGAGATCTTCTGATTCAGAGGTGCAGCGTTGACAGCTCATTCGAATCGAATTTCGTATTTCGTTTTCAACTCACCTTTCTCCTATACAAGGGATGATGTGGCGAGGCCCGATAAGTGAACTTGGCTTCCGAGGAGTGCTTCGTTCCAGAAGTTTTCCGACCTTATCCCCAGCTGGAACTCTTTCATCGACGTCACCTTCACACACTTACGAATCAAATGTCTAACAATCTTCTATCGACAACGATCCGATCACCGTTGCACTGAGCGAGAAGGGCGGAAGTACAAGATGGTTGAGAGCTCTTGTGGGACCCTCCTGTTGTACGTGCGGCAGCGAGAAGACGAGAAATTATGGTCGTACGTCCGCAGGTGGCACGACGTTCTCCTCCGTAGGGTGTACGAGAGCTCAAATGACGATCACTGATACGAACTCTAAGTCTATGGAGCGATGCGCTCCAACAGAACACAAATTTGACTGCAACAGATCGGATTCAGTTTACGGGAGGGTGAAGATAATGATGTCGATGATCTTTGTTGAGAGATCAGAGATGGCGGCATCGGGCGGTCCTCTCCTCTCGTGGATGTCGGAACATGTATTCGAAACCGGCTTTGGGATACGGATCGATAAATGACTCACGATCAATCCACGTTCTACGCTCGATTTACATGTTCGCAAATCGGTGATTATATTACCGTTTCAGACAGCTCCCAGTTGATGAAGAGCCTGGAATAGACCATCTATTGAAGCAGCGCTGCGTACCCCCCGTAATGCTGCAAGCGTCTAAAATTGTTGCAAGAGCTCAAGCTCTCGGTGGAATTGATTCCTGCAATATGGGAGATATCATAACCTCAGGAATCATCTATGGCAGAGCGCATCTCCGGCTATGCCAACGCGACATTCTTACTTCGCTCGAGCGAATATGCGTAGTTTATTGATACCTCCCGGAGAGCTCTGGGATACCTTCATAGAATCCCTCACCAGTTTCAGCTAGTAATGAAATCGCCTGGCGATGCGATCCGCTGTATCAAACATCTGCTTCCTTGGTCTGCGACGCTTCGAGCCGAAAATGCTACATTCGGATTCCACGGGTCCGAGGAATTCCTCTCAGGCCGACTCAGCAAGCTGTCCCGTGTCGGCCGGAGGGTGGCTAGCTAGGATAGCTAATCGTTGAGAGACGCAAACGTGAAACACAAAGCCTCGAGCTCGACGGAGCTGCGCATCGCGAGTATTGGGAGGGGAGGAAACGAGGTGTAAGAGGCTCTTGCCGCTATCGTATGTCCCGGTAGCCCGAAAAGCTGAGAGTGAGAGTTCGCCAATTTGTCCTCTCGCCAACAAGTCCTCTGGAAAAACAGTGTTAGAAGTGTCCGCTGCTAGTGATTTCGTATCATAATTCATACGATTGGAGATCAGAGTCAGATTTAGCGAGCTCTGTCGGGTTCCATCGGCGACGTTGCGAATAATTCATGACGCAGTGAAAAAGTAATGAGCTCTCGCGATGAATTCTATTGGCCAGCCGCGATCCGCTCCGGCTGGCTACAGCGAACGATCGCCAACCGAGATGATTCTCGGACATATCTCATGAGAATTATTCCCATGCTTTGAGCATGAATCTTCATGAGGATTCTCCTTGAAGGGCAGGATCGAGGGTAACTCGTCAGCGTCGCACGAACGCTGTCTCGATAGAATCTGCCTGAATTTGTTCCCCCACTCCTCAGACCTGTCGAGTAGGCGTGTGGGAACTAGACTTCGTCAGCTCGAGACAGGTCGGTCCTGTGCTGGGGTGGTCAGTTCAGCCCGTCGTTCGAGGCGCGGGAGCGTGTTCTGAGCTGTAGGTGGCTCTCACTCAGATCACAGGTGAGTCATTCCCATGCATATATACTGCCGCGGATGGGTTGACTGAGGCTTACCAACGGAGCGTAAAATGACAGTGATCTATTGTCGAAGATACTGCTTGAATATCGAGTGATCTCGTTGTTGATCAAGGCGAATACATGATCCGGAAGCATGAGCAGCGTCACTCTTTCAATCTCCAAACCAAGCTTCATACATCATAGGGCCTCTCTATTATCCAACTACGTCCCGTCATACTCTTCTGTGAGAGCTCGAGGTAGACGGACTGGGAACAGGAGATACGATGTGGATCCTCCTGATTCTTCAAGTAGTTGCTGCCGTTGACTTGGAGACGACCACCCATGAGGTTGGTTGCCGATGTCATTGGGTTCTGGTCGCAGGCAGTAAGGCTCCGACTCAGCATCGGAATGAGTGGAAAGAATTGAACGACTTCCCATTCCAGACGTCGCTCGAGCATGAAACGTTCTTCGGAAACTTGGAACCGACCGCGGAGTCGATTGTCGACCATCAGCTTATTCCTTCCGAATCCCAGTCGGAGTTCCTCGGTGCTCTGCAAGTTGGGCGTTTTGCTTCAAATCGTTACCGGAAAAAGCGACGTCTAACACGAGTTTCCGTAGTGAAGAGAATCGAAGGTGCGTGCCTTTCTCGCGAGAGATCTTCGTCCCGATGGTAAGGCATCTTCACTCCCAGACTGACAGTGAGATTCTGGGCTTCCGATTCGATACAGGTCTCACGAATCTTCCGTCGTCCCACTGTCTCGCTCAGTGTCTGCGGATGGGAAACTCATGTGCTGCATTCAATTATGCCCGTTCTGAGGGTGTATGTGAACTGCTCGAGGCTCATGTCTGCAGCCAGTCTGGAATCCGACTCAACAATAGCGACGCCTTCACATATTTTGACGTTTACGACAAACCGGGAGCCGAGGTGAGCATCCGTTGAGGTGCACTGGCTGTCGCTCCCGCTTGTCTCTCCAGTGGTGGTCCCAGAAAGGGTTCCCCGAATCACCGTCACACCTGAAAATCCTTGAGGTATTCTAACTAATCCTCATCCGTTTCTTCTAACTGCAGGACGAGGGTCCGATGTTCAAATCGCCATATTGCTCCAAGATCGGGCTCTGTAATCCAGCCTGTGAACAATGTGAGTGCTTGTCGTTGTATCATGTAGGAACTGCTCTGGACGTTCAGGAGGCTTCATGGTTGCGGGATGCTGTCGCACGAGTCTAAGCGCCAACGATTTTCTTCAAAACCGTGTCACAACGATGAAGATGGAGCGTTCGAGGATGAATTTCCGACTGATTTCAAGGGGCTCGAATGCCACTGTTGGACGAGTCTTGCATGGACGATTTCGAATGCCAGATGAAAGTTGGCGACAATGCGATTTGCCGTGAACCCATCGGAATGTGCAAATGCCGGGAGGGATACTACTTCGAAACAGGCGAAGGATCTTCGCGGATGGAATGTTTGAAATGTAAATCAATGCTTCCCTTCTATCTGAATGATATTTCTCCATGTTTCTCACATCGCACCTATTCAGCGGCACAGTCATCCTCGTACTAGGGACGACGCATCATCATTTTTCTACTTCAGTGGACGTCGATGGATACCGGATTTTCCCGAACCTCAAGTCGGATAGCAAAACCGGTCTCTACTTCAAGTTGGTCCATCTGAACATGGATTTTGAGAGCGCTGCAAACCATTGTATTCGGGTAAGCTTGTTCTCACATGCCTGCCCCTCAAGATCAAGAAAGACAACGAAACGCTATCCGCCATAGAAATCTCATTCGATGAACTCCGCAGCCTTCGGACAGATCCCTTCATCTGGGTGAGATTCCCGCCGACCGTGAGTATTCTGAAGCCTAATAGACATTGATTCTGCTCTCCAGGCTGAAGGCGGCTTCCTGGCCGAGACTGAAGACGGTGAGACCAATCGATTCCTGCGGGAGTACATGAGGAGGAATAAAGTGAGATCTGCCTACTTGGGCTTATCAGACCAAGTTCAGGTAAGAGCCTACGTTGGTCGAGATCCAGGATTCGCTTGGCGAACCTCCGGAAGGAACATGTTGAGCGAACTACCTCTCTACTTCAGGAAGGAAACTGGATCTGGCAGAACACTGGACAAAAATTGAAGAGCTCCCAGTTCTGGAAGAGCGGTGCCCCAGATAACTTCAACGATAACGAACATTGTGCCACTATAACGAATGAGATCGATTTTGGATGGGACGACATCCCTTGTGACAAGCAGACGAAGTTTTTCTGCCAAAGGTCGGAAACAAACTGAAAAGGTAGCGCTCTTCTGTCGCCTCGTACTTATCTGATACCTTGAGAATCCCTGGCTGAGATTACTCAGAAATAAACGATTTAGCTCCGCAAATTTCGGTGTCCTCTCTGCATACTCATTCATACTGGTCCAGTGGCAGAAATCCGTCCCATCGAGGAGGCTGCACGTTTGTGTTCTCTCTCTCTCTCGCTACAGTATAATTCGCGAGCGGATCGATTCCGAAGAGGAGCGAAGACCCGCACTGCCGAGAATAGTGCAGGCGCTCTCCCTTCGGTCGGAATCGCCTTGGGCATCGCCGAAGGGGCATCGCCTCCATGGCCAGATCCGCAAGGGGGAAATCTTGCTTGAGGAAGCGTGGACGGACTCATTTTTAACGTGCTACCGCAATGAACGTTCCGACCCACCCGTCGCGTGCCAATTTCGACGCCCGTTTCCCATGACGTCAACCTTTTCCACAGATAGGCCGGCGCGTACGCAGGGGGGGGGGGCTGAGGGGGCTGCAGTCCTCTTCCAGCTTGTGCGTTCGTTATGCGAATATAGCAGGGAGTCGCCATGTTGGATACGTTGGATATCAGCCCCATGTGAAAACCCGATCTTGCCGTCCTCCAAGGAGAATCCTGCTGCTGATAGGTACACATGGCGGTAGAGCTCCGCTCCTCAGTCACTTTCCTCGACGTTGTTCCCCAACGATCGTTATTTTTCCGAGATGGAGCTTTCTCCATCTCAATTCCGTCTCCCTAGGTATATCCCCGGATGAAAACCTACGTATCCCGTGCCAACCAATAGCAGATTCAGAGGATTCCCATTTTTTTCCATTTCATTAGCGAAAGTCACTGAAACCCTCAATGAGCGATCGTCGGCATAAAGACCGTCTCACCGTTGAGTCTGTTCATTATCGTCAGAGTCAGGCGAGGAAAATTCAATCAAGTCGCTCAAAAGGAATCGCGCGTTTTGTCGTCACCGATGTCAGCCGCTGCATCCTCGGAAGAACACAGGAAGACCCTGTAGAGGTAGAGATCCCCATTCCTCCTCTGAGCTGGGGAAGCGAGACGAGGGAAGGGATAAGATCTGTGTTTCGAAATTGTCACGGAAATCAAGAGCGGATCCATGCGCTGCATAACGAGCTGACGCAGCTCATGAATCGTGATGACCATCGCGTCGTACTAGAACTTCCTCTTAGCTACGGGTTTGTCGACATGTAAGAGGATCTGCTTTCCTGCCGGGGGACGCGAACGTGAGCGTCGGACAGTTCGACGGATCTCGGGCTCGTCGTTCTGCAGTCGCTGTTGGCATACAGTCTCATCCCGAACGCAGCCGATTTTTTTTCTTTCCATCTAGCTCATTCGCTTCTCGCTTACCCGGACTTGATTGTCAGGCCACAGGACCCCGTCCCGCGCGTGACTGCACCTCAGCCCGTGAGTTGTGACTCCTCCGGAAAACGGCTGAGAGAACCCCGTAACTCATGGGTCTCTCAGGGCGATTTGGATCAATCGGAGCCGAGCAGCACCATGAGTATTTCCGGATCATCTCTGCGAACCCCATCCTACTGTCCTTTCCCAGATATTTCGGGGAAGGGGGCGTGCGCTCGAGGAGAAAGAAGGGATGGAGGGTATGAGGCCGCGAGATCCATCTCAGATCTCATGACCTTATCTTTTCCAGGCATAGAAAGCGCCGGGCAAAAGAGAGGGGGCTTCGTTCCTATTCAGACTCCGGGACTGAAGCGACAGGCGCCGAAAACTCCCTCCGAAAACCTCGGCCGGCCGCCTAGAGAGAAATCCTGGACAATGCAGTAGGCTCCTTGGACGTCCTTGTTGACAATCTGGCGAGAGACGGTTCCTCATCCATTCAGCCAAGGTCCTCGTCCGAGGCTCGTTGTCGCCGCGCATCGGAGCATATTCTCGCCTCCATTGAAGTCTATAGCTGTTCATGAGACAGCAGTAGAGTCACATCTGAGAAGCGAGATTTCACGTCGAGACTGCGCACAAACAGAAAGTGATGGATGGAAGGAAAACATTGGAGCATGATGCTAACTCATTCCTCATCGATTAATCTCCGTGGACTCAGTGACTGGAATAGGTGATTTGCCAACGAGCGAAACCATTCCCCGGGGGCCGAAATTAGGGGACTGCTGCCAATAGCAAGGAGAATAAATCGTCGCATATCAAGGCTATCCGGCCATCCATCTAGATGGCCCCGTCGCATCGTTTTTTTTCCTCGATCGGCTCTCCGAGCGACGCGTCCCAAACCAGGGCGAAGGGATTGTGATCAAGGAGTGGGCAAGAACCGCGATTGCGTAACCGCGAGCGTAAACGGCCAACCGACTCACTGACAGAGTGGCTCGTTGTTTTTACCGGAGGCAGCGGCTGGGAAAATCCATCGGCGCCCACTCGCTCCCGGGCCCTCGCAAGCAGACGACGCGACACTCCGCAGACTCTGAAGGCCACAGATGAGTTTGCTAGTCGTTGAGAGCTCTCAAACAGCTCCTCAGCTGGTTCGAGTGCGCATTGCGTCCAGGTAAACGAGCTGCAGCCAGCCGTATGTGATTCAAAAGGAGTGAAGAGAACTGATTGGAAGTGGCCAACCGAAATCCATCGGACCCGCCATGAGCCCGGGACGGGAGACCCCGAGCGGGCTCGCCACACAGCCGGGCCTGCCGTTTTCCTTCGAGTTGGCGGTGTTCTTAGTAGCCGTCGCGATGCTGCTCGCTTCGCTGGTAGTTTTGTATCTCTACCTCAATCGACGTCTCTGCTTCGGCAGTCACGACAAGCGCAAGTACTCCGACTACTCCAGCAATACCCTCGGTGAGTCTAAGTCCGTGGACCCACGGACGTGTGTAGGCCGAAGCAATGCGAGGGTCCGCTTCACCGATGTCCAATCGAACCTCATGACATTCGAAAAAATTCGAACTCTAAACTTGCGAGCATCTCACGGGCTCAATCGCTGTAGATGCAATTGTTATGGAGAAGAAATCGACGCATATTGCTCCACCTATGTACGTACGAGTCACATGGACTCCGTTAATCGTCACGGAGCTGAGAGAATTATTTGCTGTCCTCACCACTGACGCTCAGTCGTTCCCATTGGACAATCCAATGATGCGCAACAGATCCGAATAGTCGCGTTTTGGGCGTGACATGCGTACCTCTCGGTCGCAGATTCCCGCAACGCGAGGAGCACCTCGAACGGGTCTTTCCGCTGTTCGAAAGTCGAGAAGCGTCGACACCGCGAACCCTCGGCGTATCGTAGTATCCTGGTATCTGGCGTTCGTTTTCCGGCAGATCGAGCGGCAGAATGCTCCGCGTGTGCCTCCGAGATAGAAATTTTCGAAAATGGAAAAATCCATGCAAAGCGCCCCGATGAAAAACCCACGCCATTCTGGTAAGTACGGATCGCGCCCGCTCCCGAGTAGGATCATCTCCGCACTGGTAACAAGGGGGCTCAGAGCCCCTAATCTGCATGAACGAAATCCGGCGATACCCTGCGAATCGAGAACGTTCTCCGGTGGGGAGCCGCGAACCTCTCATTCTGCGATGCGTGCAGGGATACTGCGAATCGATTCGGAATGGATTACAGGGGCTGTGAGACTGGTGGACTGTGCAGAGCGATCCTCAGATGATTTTACTCAAAATATCGTTCGCGCTCTCGACTATGAATACGGATGAAGCCTCCCACGAGGGGCAGTCGCTCCATGACTCGATGTGCCGAGCATCGATTGCCACCACCTATCACAGACTTCAATCAGGAATGTCGGGAACTGGCTCGTGTCGTCAGACTGCACCTCCAGGCCCCGACGTAAGAAGCAGCGCGGTACGAAACTCAGCTGTGCTGCTCCGAGGGGATATCGCCGTTATCAGAGCCTGGACGGAGCAGGATCAGGACTCGCGATGGATCGGGGAGAAATTCCCGTCGCAAGACAAACAAACCACAATGCTTGGATGGGTCTGCGCGCATATACTCGAACGACGACGTAAGCGGCTTTGAGGATCCTATTCCTCGCGACCCGTCAAGAAGCTTGGGTTTCAACCCTTGTGCGATTCAGTACCTCGGTAGGAAGTCGTTGTTCGGTTCTTCCACCTCTAAGCGAGTCTCACATACCACCGGCTCGTACCTCGCGATCCCTAGCTGCGTAATTCCAAAGGAGTCTCCTCGAAATCATCCTCTCCCAAAAAGACGACCATGTTTTGGATGTATGGGACACGGCACAGCGGTATGAGTCCCCGGAGGGAAATTCGAAGTTTTGCCGAGCGGACTCCTGAAATGGGGAAGCCGTGCATGCGGCGTTCATCCGCGAAAACCCCCAAAGGTGCATGAACACCATCGAGACCGAATCAGGACAATCCTCACTTCCGTGGAGCCCACGGGGTTTTATTCTACGATGGAGAGTGCTTCGCAAGCTCATTTTGCCCCGGTCCGGCTTGATTCTAAAGCACCGGCTCAACCTTCATCCTCGAAATTCTCTGAATCTCCGGGATGAGGAGTTCTCCAGACCATTCCGGCATACATGGATCATATGCAATGCACTATAGACTATAGACTACATCCGTTTCCGTCATGAGGCTGGATCACACACGAGAAACGTGTGCCAGAGGCTAGCCCTGTGATCCAGACGCCAATGATCGATCACTGACGTTTCCCAAAGCCAAGACTGCCCATTATCAGAGAAACGCTTCAAAACACGAAGGAATCGAAGAGAAAGACAAGCTTCCGAAGGACCCTTTCCCGAGTCCCTGCAGCGATGTTCTCCAACACGGAGACGATAATCACAGTGGTCGTGATATGCGATTCTGGGATTCTGGCGTGGCATCTTTTCGGAAATCATGACGTTTCCCGGTCCCGACAGACTCTCTGGGGATTGCCGGGTTCTAAAGACTTTTTGCGCGACCGTATTCCTAGACCTGCTGACAGGAAATGCATAATTGGGGCGGCAAGGCGCAACGCTTTTCCGGATCTAGATTGATGGCTCTGGGCTGAAGAAGAAGGAAAAGGACTTTGCCTTAACCTTCCGTTTCTCTTCTCGATCAGCGGACGACACCTTCTGCTACTACGAAGATCTCAGCGCTAGTTCAGATTCTGACGAGCATCTTTTGAACGACAATGAGAGATCGGCATCCGTATGCTCTCTGGATGACCGCCGGGAAACTCATCCCTTCACCGAGCTCAACGCGAATTTGAATTACAATTCATGCTCTCAAACGCTAAGTAACCCCGCAATCGGAGCACCGACCGCTGCGGCTGCGACGACTTTGACGTCGACTGTTGACGCGCCTACGATAAAGCCTGCTTCAGGCCAACAAGTGAGTTTTGCGAGACGAGAGTTGAGCCCCGGCCTAGAGAGATCTTTCCCGCGAAGCGAAGGATCCGCACGAAGCTTGATCTTTCTACGAGAAGGTCAGCTCGGCCTGTAATATCGGTGAAGCGATATTCCTCACAGCAGTCCCGTCTGAACTTACAGGAAGTGCCATTCGCTGCCCGCGACGGAGGATTCCTCGAAGTCGTTATCAACCACGACGCACTTGCCCGCAGGGTGATCGTGAGTTTGGTTCAGGCACGTAAGCTGCCCGTAAAAACTCAGGGTGGCGCAAGCTCGTACCGGGTCAAGGTTACTGCAATTACTTCGAAAGAGACCGCCAATGATAAAATCATGAAGCACACCTCTAAAGTCAAGCAGGCCAATCAGCAGGGTGAGTGAATGTCTCGTCAATCGTGCTGCCCTATTTTCGCAATGTTCCTATTCTCGGATGTCCTTGAAGCTCGCAAATCACTCCCTCATGGTCCTCAAGTGCTGACACGACCTCTATCCCGAGATTCTGGTCATCTGGAATCTCTGGCAGGGTGTCTCGTCACGAAATGGGATCAGCCCTGATCCGGAGCCGAGAGGCGCCTCAAAGAAATTCCCATCCAACTGGAGGAAGAAGCTTTTATTTTAACCTTCATGGTTTGCAGGTAACTGTATATTCAACGAAGATTTGGTGTTCTCTCGCATTTCGAGCGATTCTCTAGCCTGCGTGACACTCCGCTTCAGGATTTATTCCGCGCAGGAGCGCCTAACTCGACGACGGCGCCTGATAAGTAGGTTTCTACATATTATCGACTGAGAACTTGCGTTCATTTTTCTTCTACCGAATAAGAGACTCAATGAGTCCGAACCCTATGTGAACTCTGGGGTCAGGCTTTGGATTCGATCTCCGCTCGAATCGGATGCTCGCCGAGCGACAGGTCAATTCGGCTCCACTATGCCGAGACCTGAATTTATCGCTCGATTTCCCGCAGGTGAAGCCACAATGGTACTTTCGCAAGCGCATCTTGGCGAAACGCTGACGCTGGCTTTCGAGGCGCGAACCCCGGCCACCAACGGTAGTGACTCTGAACAGAGCGATTCGTCGACTGGTTCGCTCAATTCCCTACAGCACGTCGGGCTCTCGGCGTCTCCGGAGCTCCTGGTCGGACTTGCCTACAACGGCACCACTGGCAGACTGAGTGTCGAAGTGATCGGAGGCAGCCATCTCGGCGTTCTCCCGGGAATTCCTCACGTGAAAAGTTGTCCCAACCCCGACACGTTCGTTAAGTTGAGCCTGCTGTCCTCGGCCGGACGTGAGATCGCGTCGTCGAAGACCTCGGTTCGACGAGGCCAAGCGGATCCTGTTTACAAGGTAGGTACAAGGTGAAGAAGCATCCAGCTGAAATATTCCGCACCCTTCCGTTCCCCACGATTCAACCCGGAGCCGAATAGGAGCCGGAGAGCGTAATCCAGGTTTTTCCCGCTTCCAGGAAACATTCGTGTTCCAAGTCGCCCTTTTCCAGCTCACCGATGTGACTTTGATACTGTCAGCATACAAGCGCAACTCTATGAAAAGAAAACAGTTGATCGGCTGGGTTTCCTTCGGGTTGAATGCATCCTCTGACACACAACTGGTCCACTGGAGTGATATGAGAGATGGTCGAGGGGAACAAATCGCTCGGTGGAATACACTGATTCAAACACCGGCTTGAACGAGGATCTGACAATGATACCGTGCATCCCCGATGAGACCGACGGAGCCCAGGCAGCTTGGGGTCTCGTCGATCATACTCTTGAGAAATGTATCCAAAGTGAGCTCACACGATTAGTTTAGATATTGTTCCAGTCCGGAAGGATCCCATGAGAATTCCCGGCTTGGGATACCGGACCACCACCTGATAAGTGACTACAGAACGTTCGGGGCGATCCCAATCCATGAAGACGTCAACCAGCTCTGAGGACTATGAGTTTCCAGACTCGAATCACATCAGACGTAAAGGGCCCAGGAACCGAAGAAAACGACGCCACGTGAGGGATCACAGAATCCAATCTATGTATAGGGAGCGGAATTCCAGAATATTATGCTCTCAGTTCGGGGACTTCGTGACGATTGACAAGGGCTCCAGACTTCTCATCGGAGTCGACAAGCTCGTTTCCGGAAGGCTGAAAGGCATCGTTAGGCGCGGGTCTCGAATCGCAGATGATTTGAGAATCATACACTCGGATAGATTCGACTGTTTAGTTTAGACGGAGGGAAACTGCAATGGGACGCGCTGCCGGCCTCGTCGAAGTCTCGAGCCGAACGAGCGATTCACTTGACGACCCTACACATCCGCAGGATGAATATCATCAGAGGATCAAGAACGTTCAGACAAGACTACCCTCGATCATACATTAGCATAAGCGGCGGGAGGTACGGAGGCTGCCAATCGTGGTGCAATAGACGATTAAGAATGAGACAGCTCTACCTATAATGATCTTCAGTGATTCAGATCTATCATCTTTGATATACACAGGATGGAAGACTTGGAAAATCTGCGATTCTGTTGACATCGAAAGTAATAATAGTTAGCCATGCAAGTCGCTCTGGAGCGTACGACATACAAAGTTCCTGCACGGGGTTGACCACTCGGAACCTGATCTCGATCAGCTGGGAGGATGGACTCCAGAGCCGAAATTTTTGGGGTCGCTTTTCCCTTCGGTGTCAGCATGGTCATAGGGAGCTATGATGTCTTCTCTTGCCAGATTACCGGGAAACTCGCCCGGGGTACCTGAACTGGGCGAGAACCCTGATCCAGAAATGATCGAGCTTAGATTTCGGGAGCTACGTTTCGAGAAGACCATGAAAGTGCCAAAACCATTTAACTTCGAAGAGTCGCCATCCAGAATCGCACCATTAGCCCTTCCTTCCTACTTGCTGGGGATCTCTCGGGCAGCCTATATCATGGTCCCACAAGCTTTGGGGCTCCGCTAGCAGAGCCAGGTATTCCCATTGATGTTCACGAGAATGGCTCTCAAGGTTTCCCCTTTCAGATTCCTATATTAAATTAATTCCCAGTGATATCCGGAAGAACTTGTGACTCCACAGAAAATAAACAACGACTATTAGCAGGACCCCTAGAAGATCCAGTATTGCTCACCGACATGGTGGATGACCACGATTTCGAAAGACAAACAATACCCGCACGAGGCATCGACTATTACGTTGTAAGTCACCGCGCTAGTTCATCATCAAGAATTCGTTGCAAAACCTCGATCCCGGTATCGGGTACCTCATCTCGGATGGGACTCAATCAGGAACTAAGATGCGCTGGGAAGCTCCGATCACGAGTCACTGCAATACAGTTTTTGAGAGGGCGCTCGAATCCATGATATAGCAAGCTTTCTATTGTAGAAAAAAAATGTATCCTTGTTCAAATGGGCTAGAAGCCGAAATTCGTCGCGAATCAATACATCGTTGAGTCATTGAAGCGAGAAGACGGAGATTCAACTCCCTAAGGACGATGTGTATACATATACCTCTGTAAAAATAAGCCTTATTCCATCTCTTTTGAGAAGAAGAAAGACGAACTCAGGACTCATAATGGTCCTCGTTCGAGCTGCCGATCACCGCGACCAAGTTGGACCTCAGCATTGTACCTCATGAGAAATTTTGCACCTGAGAAGTTGTACGGAATCGTCAATAAAGTCGAGGACACAGACGAATCAAAGTAAAAATCGCGTCTTCATTCGCGGAGTTCAGAAGTTAGAGTCGTCACACAGTCGTCCCTCTTTTGGAACGTCACCGAGGATATCCCTGGAAAATCCATGACCTCCACGCCGAGGCCACCGATACAGGCTTGATACCGATATTTTGCTTCGGACGCGCTGAGAATCTCGGAGCCATTGAAGCGGCCCCCTGAACTCATCCTTGATCACTGACTCTGAACGAGTGCCCAATAGAGAACCCACGAAGCAGAGCTCCTTAGACCCATCGTTCCGAGGTTTATTCTTATCATTCCATGTACGAAAAAATGTCATCGGACCGTTAGCGGGGAGATCGTAAGATACGATCCGAGGAAAAGGCGGAGGACATCCCCAGGTACAAGAATCGTTGGCTGATGAATAACGGCGACCCCGCTCGGCGGGAGAATGATCAAATGCTCGGAATAAGATGAGCATTCGTCCACGCTGCTTGATGTCCCTCATCTACCGCATGTGCTGCGGAGGGGCGAACATAGTTCCGCTCTGCTTCGCTACTGCGCGGGATGGCGCAAAACCAGAAGTTTCTGCACATTCTGCAAGTGAGATTTCGATGAGATGACGGTTCTCTGGAAATGCGCTAGAGGAACGACACTTCAGTCGTGAATCACTGCTCCGAGGCGAAACTCACCTGCCGGATAGACATCGTCGACAAGATATAAAGGAATATGAACGAGCAGTCAGTAAAATCTTCGCCCGCGAGATTCCTGTGACTTATTCCTTGGAACCAAGCAATCGGCACAAATGGCAGTTTCGCGACAACTCTCCCGTCGAATCTGCAATGTGGGCAATGAATGGGATGAAGCGAATGACTATCCTGCCTGTCGGATTTGCTCAATTCGGAACCTTCCCTGCTGGCACTGAATTCTATCCGTAGCTGAAATATGGCTCACATGTTGTTGAAGCACGAGAGGAGAGCCGTGAAAGCCACCCCGATAGCGAACATGGACTTCATCTTCACGAAGTTGAGATCTCTGTTGTTATTCCGAAGTCTCTCCTCGTCTCTCTCGAGTTTTTTCTTCGACGCTTTGTCAGTTTCAGCGACGTTGACGCTTTCCTTCTTCTTCTCAACTGGAGGGAACATATCCAGCGGGAGAATCAGATCGGGACGGAGAGCTGAGACAGGGATATCGGACTGATCTAGAGAGAATTGTCGCACTCACGTTTTTTACTTTGTTTTTCGACCTCAGCCTTGAGACGCTGGTACTTCTGAGTCCGGTAAACTGTTAACCACGTCAGGCCTAGAAGAACGGAATGAGGTAGTCACCGGCAGCCTAAAGTTTACACCGGACTCGCTCGAAGAGCTGTCCCGGGCTCCGACTCCGGTAGGATTCGAAGCCTACTTAGGTACTTCTTCGACAGAGCTCCAATAACTCCTACACCAACCTTCGCCGACGAAAGCGGTGAAGAAAGACACGGCCACGATCAGCAGTCCATCCTCCCACATGATTCCGCGAAGGGGGAAAATCAGAATCTGAGCGCTGACACTTCCTTTGTTGACGATTCCGAGTTTACCCAGGGATTCAACCCAGATCGACACGTAAACTCAAGTTTCGGCAGACGGTGAGAAGCGGGAGCGCTGGTACCTGATTATCGCCAGAGGCTATCCGGCGAGAATGATTGAGGAGAGTAGCCAACTGAAGTATGAGCACCGGACTCGGCTCCCCGGAAAAGATCTGCTGCAGACGAGTGTTTTCCAGGCGCTGATGATGATGATCTCTGCTTGGTCACGAAAAGAGTTCCCCGCATCCCCCCGGAGACACTCTCATAAAAGTCATGTCATAAGGTAGTAAACTCATAAGGTGGCGAGAGAACTCGATCACTGAGCCTAAAGGACCGTGGCTCCTCCGATCTGGGTACGCGAGAATTCGGTCGCAGCTGACGGGGAAAAGAGTTTAAAGAATGAAAACTGGACCAGCAGGTCTATGGATAGAAGGCATACGAATAATGGGTCGAGACTCGAGACGTGGGCGGAGGAATAGGTCGTTCCGAAGCTCTCGGCTCGGTCTCCATCGTTGAAAATTCAAGGGAGCGGCGGCCCTCTGACCCGAGAGGAGCACGCTCTTCCTCCAAGCATTGAACGGTGCCTGATGTTCATGAATCATCAGTCATTATTTCATAAGCCGCTGTTCGGGTACTCCTCAGACCCAGGGAACTACACTCGAAGTAGCCATCTGAGGCGCCTAGTTCGCGGACCGGATCCTGAGCCAACCGAAATAGGACGACAATCGGCCGGTGGATTACGAGCCCAAGATAGCCGTGAGTTCATGAATCCGATCGCGTGAAGCTCCAATGAGAATCTAAACAGCGAGCATCAATACGACGACTCAAAGTCCGAGAAAACAGGAGCCCACCATGCGGTTTCATTCTTGTCATCTAGCGCAAGTCGGCTTGGTGGTGTACGAAAAGTCAGATTGATCCCGCGCCGTCCCGAAACCCGAAGCATTGGCGATGATGATCTTCGCCGAAAGTTGAACAGCCCCGCTCGGGGGCGGGGAGCAACCACCTACTCCTATCAGAAGGAACTAGCTCAATCGCCGACCAGTAACTCAGGACGATGTTTTCTTGGGGCATAATCAAACATCCTCTACCGAGTCTCTTGAAATCTATCCAGACAGTGCATGAGAGCTATTGGTTCGGAAATTCAGGTTTCGTACGTCAGCTGGATGATGACGCTCCAAAATGGAGTGATCTTGATTTCGGGAGGATGTGCTTGGAGTCCCGGGCGATCGGAGCACAGCTGCGATTTCTCAACTCCGGTCCGGCCCCTCCACCCCCCACAAAAGGAAATCTTCTGTTCCTCCCGGCGGCTGACCAGCTCACCGAGTGCGTGGGAGCTTGTCGAATCCCATCGAAAGCATAGATTCTGATAGGCCACTGCCAACTGCCAAATGAAGGAGGAGGTCGCTGACAGCTGATCTTAGATATACATTGAGCAGGGCAGCCGCTCCGTCGCGCACGAAGGGTTGTACGGTACAACCTGGAAAGTTTCGAAGTTCTACCGTTTGAGAACTGGGACCGATTCAGATGCTTTCTATACGTGGACTCTTGTTCAGCGCGCGCGGTCAAGCGCGAGCTTTGAGCGGACAATGGAAGGTGATCGGTTCCGAGCCCGACCGTGGCAATCCAGGTTTTCAGGAGAATGAAGTGAGTACATGAAGCTCGAATGGGATAGGTTTTCAAGGGTGGTGGATCTGATGGGTATTCCGATGGAATTATTAGTGGTGAGTTCGAAAGATCGGAGTTGATTCTTTCCGCTAAGCTCCGGGTGAGAGTATTCGAGCACAGACATGATGTCGGCACAAGTCATCACCCGAGAGCATCCCGAAACTTCGATTTCAGACCGCAATGAAAGGTTTGGTCGACGAGCTCCGACGCAATGTCGCCCAAGTCTCTCTCGGAGGTGGAGAGAAGGCGCGACTCCGGCACACATCCAGGGGGAAGCTGTTCGTTCGGGATCGGATAAACACTCTCCTCGACCCAGGTGCGAGCCCGGATGATAAGCCGATGATTTTCCTCCGATCTCGAAAGTCAAGCGGCTCCTTGTCGTTTTACAGGGTCGCCTTTCCTTGAGCTTTCCCAGTTGGCTGCATGGGACATGTATGGACAGGACCAGATAGCCGGGGCAGGACTGGTTGCGGGGATCGGCCGTGTATCTGGCAGACAATGCATGGTGATCGCTAATGACGCAACAGTCAAAGGCACGTATCCCGCAATCCCCCGGTAGACTCCGGGAACATGAAACCTGTCATGGGTCTGCTACAAGTGCTTCTTCCATAGGTGGTACATACTACCCAGAAACCGTGAAGAAACATCTCAGGGCCCAGCACATCGCAAGAGAATCGCGTCTCCCGTGCATTTATCTTGTGGATTCTGGGGGGGCCTTCCTGCCTAAACAAGCGGAGGTGTTCCCAGACGAGAATCATTTCGGGAGAATCTTCTTCAACCAAGTAAATTCCAGTCGAGCGCTTCGATCGCTCAAGACGAGTGGTTTTCCTCTCGATCATCGCTCTGTCCTGATAACTAGCAAATACCAACACCACGGCATTGCAGGCAACTCTTTCTGCTGAAGGAATCCCCCAGATAGCGGTCGTGCTCGGCTCGTGTACAGCCGGTGGAGCCTATGTCCCTGCCATGAGTGATGAATCGGTCATCGTACAGAAGCAGGGCACTATTTTTTTGGGAGGTCCTCCGCTGGTCAGAGCTGCCACGGGCGAAGAAATTTCGGCGGAAGACCTCGGAGGCGCCGATCTCCATTGCAGGTCCGCTCCGCTGTGTAGACTCATCTCTTGGTTCCTGTCTTTTAATAGCTCTGTGTCTTATACATACAATGGGATTACTTGCAGGAAGAGCGGGGTTACAGATCACTATGCCATCGACGATACGCATGCGCTCCATTTGGCGAGGAACATCGTCTCCAGTCTGAATAATTCGCCGAGCGATTCCTTGGACTTCTCGGCGCCCGAACCCGTGCTCGATGCGAGCGATATCTACGGAATTATCGGTAGGCTTCACTCGTCGCGATCAAACTCAGCGAGGATCGCTGTGCTCCAAAGTTCAAGCCTCACTCGATTCGTCTCCATTCTGCCAGTTCATTATTTCAGGTGCAAATCTAAAGAAAACCTGTGATGTCAGAGAAGTCATATCTCGTATTGTCGACGCTTCGAAATTCTCGGAGTTTAAAGAACTATACGGGGAAACCCTCGTCACTGGCTTCGGCAAACTCTACGGTCAAACCGTGCGTGCTTGACAACTCATATACGCAATAATTGTGTCATAAATGCTTGGTGATTCTCTCACGCACAATCAATCTAAGTTTTTTCGATAAGTTGCCGTTCTCCGAAGGTTGGGATTCTCGCTAATAACGGAGTCCTGTTCTCCGAGAGTGCGGTGAAGGGAGCTCACTTTATCGAGCTGTGCTGCCAACGGAATATTCCACTCCTATTTTTGCAAAACATCACCGGTGAGTTGAGAGTCGACTCTGGGTGTGAACAGAATCCTCGGATTTCCAAGTTAAGACCTCGACTTGCAGGATTCATGGTTGGCCGCGATGCCGAAGCCGGTGGTATCGCCAAGCACGGAGCCAAACTCGTGACTGCGGTCTCGTGCGCCCGTGTACCGAAGTTGACCGTGCTCATCGGAGGATCGTACGGGGCTGGGAACTACGGAATGTGTGGTCGCGCGTATGGCCCGCGGTTCTTGTACATGTGGCCCAACGCCCGAATTTCCGTCATGGGAGGGGAACAGGTCCGCTGTCGTCACCTTCATTGTTGAGTGCCACCGGGAATCTTCTGAATCTCTATCTGAATGCATTTTCTTCGAGATTTCAGGCTGCGGAGGTTCTGACCCAAGTTCAGAGAGACATAAGAATCCGCGAAGGAAAAGCCGCGATGGGGCGTGAGGAGGAAGCCACACTAAAGGATCCAATCATCGAGAAATATGAGCGCGAAGGGAGTCCTTATTTCTCCAGTGCCCGGATATGGGACGATGGGGTCATCGATCCGAAACACACCCGAAAGGTGACGCCGTGGATACCTCGATCCAACTCTCGCTGGTCTGGCGAAACGTTCTCGAGGCATATCATCTTCTATCTGGTGAGGCCACGCTGATGAACTCAAAATCTGTGATCTTGCAGATCCTCGGTTTGTCTCTGAATGCAGCCCTGAATGCTGAAAGGAGTCGCGAAAGGGAGCTTGTCGCTGAGAGGACTCGCTTCGGAGTTTTCCGGATGTGAGGCTTTCCGGACGGAGAAAAGCTATCCTCCCGACCTTTTCCAACCTTGAATTCTTGGGCTATTCGAGCAGACGAAGTGAGCTCTGATGCTCGAATGCCTCCCAACGAAATACTCATAGAGCTCGCCCCGCAACGACAGCGCCGGCTCCTTCCTTCTTAGCCCTCACGAGCGGAAACGTTGAGTCTGATGCTGCTTATATACGGAACATGACACATCGGAACTCCGTGTACGGATATTTTAAATACAGTTAAGTTTCTTCCTTCCTCGATGTCCATCCATCCATTTATTTATCCAAAAGTCGTCACAAGATGAGCGGACTCACGACGGATTCACGTCCCGGAACTCAATAGTTTAATAGGTACTCCATGTCAGCAGATAACCTTATATTGGAATGCTTCGTATCGATCCGCGACGCCGTGCTTCGGCTGCCTTTAAGTAGTAGTCCCTCTTCCTCTGACATATTCTCCACATGTACGTCCCGTTCAAGTGTATGGAGAGCATGTCCAACTGTTTTCGGTGTCCATGATACACATTATGCAAACGAATGCTCGTTCAAAAGTCGCGTCGCGATTCGGAATTTCCAGCCACTCCTCTCGTTCGTATATTGGACGAAACAACCAAAATGTGGAAACTTGAATGAGAACTATCGCGAGAATATATATCGATGACGCCGTCCAAAGGCAGCATCTTCTCGATGGACTCTGTGACCTTCCCGCTCCGGGATAACGGTTGAGATGAAAAATGATTCTCCGTGGTGAATTCAGAATAGTCTCGAGAGGATTCGCGAGTACACGGACTTCAAGTTTTACAATGTTCACAGACTCATCAGGGATTCCTGTTGGAGTCGCCTCGTCATGAAGCGATCCGGGAAGACGATCCTCAGACTAACACCTGAAAGGATCCGGAACAAATGATCAGATGACTGCAAGATGATCGAGTACAAGAACTATTTCGCTGTTCTCTACCCGTGAGGCACATTCCTCCACCGACGGATCGATGTTAGGCAAATCGCATGCAGAGCTCAGATAGCTTGGGGGAGGACTCACATTTTAAATTTCTGTCGGTTGGAAGGCACTGATTCCAGGACGCACATAGTATACACTGCCGACTCTGCGGTTCTCTCCGGTGACGATACGACGAATCTTCTCACGGTGGTAAATGAACACGGTGATGACCATCATAAATGCCAGAACACAAGCGCACATAGCAACCACTGCGGAGGCACAGACGTAAACCAGATTATTTAGAGGCTCGAATTCAACGGAACGGCCAACGATTGGGAACGCTTTATCGCAATGCTGGGGGGATCGATCGTGAACTTCGCCGGAATGTTACGATTATTTTCGGTCAACCTATAACCGATTCCCCGGAAGCTCGAGCTTACTTATGAAGTTCGCGTCCGTGTACACCCATCCTGATCCCGTCGAAGCGGGCTCGACTCTGACGCTGTCTTGGGCCAGTTGTTTGAGGAAGTTGGGTCCATGATCTATGAAGGTCCGAACTTCGCTTGCCGGCTGGATTTCGAAGTCTGCCATGCTGATGCCTGCTCACGACACCTGAAACATTCAAATCAGAATCACATCAGAGCTGAGCGTTTCGTACGGATGTTCGCCGGGTTTCCGTGTCGTGGCGCCGGCTGATGCGGTCCTCGAGCAACAGCCGTCGTTAATTTGCGGTCCACTCGCGCAATATCGGCGGTCACCTGCGGTCGTCCAGTGCGAAACAGCTGTTTGCAAGACAGCTCCGATGCCCCCGAAGTGTTTTTCAACCAAGCGAGGCTCACGATACTTTGAGGAAATGAGCGCGGAAGATCCTTGATGCAGGCAGCACACATTTCAGGTGACGCCCATCGATATCCTCAAGATTAGACAGTCTCGAAAGAATGGCGAGCCTTTGTCGTTTGTTCCCAGATCTCGTAATCCTCTGTCGAGGCGAACATATTTTCGGGAGAGAAACTTGGGTCCCACTCCAGCTCAATTATGACAGTGTTCTCCACGAAAACACTGACTCATTTTTCGTGACAGCGTGCCGACAACTTACATATTCGTCTAGCTCATTGATGCCTGTCTCGAGCGCCGGCAGTTTCCAGAATGGCACCGCGATCGTGAGAATAATTTCTGCAGTTTGCGCCAACAGTCGCTTGGGACAGATTATTGGAAGCGCGGCATGTTTCCGCACTCGGAAATTGAATTTAAGGATCGGAGGGATCCGTACATTGGTATTCTCCTTCGGATGTCGTATTTGGGTATGGGAGCAACGTCGGGAATTTTTCTCTCAGGGACGACGATCTCATTAGCGGATTCTGCATCGGGAGCTTGACAAGCTCCCCTCCTCGGGCATCAGACTCTGCGGGAAGGACAGCTTTATACCTATGCACGAGCTCGGAAGTTATTAAGAGTCGCGTCCCAGATGCGGGACTGCATCGTACTTCCCGAAAAGCAAAGTCACGTCACGTCCTATCTCGTCATTGGTTATAATCACTTGTCGCAGCTCGATTGCGATCTTCTCCGCTCGTGAAAAGCGTCGAGGACTCCTTGACGATCGGCCTGAGCATGAGCGCGACAAAAATAGCTTAGCCCATCGAAGCAGGTATGCACGTTCGTACATATGTCGAGACGGAGGACTCTCACCAGCTCATCAATATTACGCAACGTTCAGGGACCGCATCGAGAGCGAGAACATCCAGACAAAAGACAGCGACTCGGGAACCTTATGATCTCGAAGGCGCGAGTGATTGTCGCAGAGACATGGCTCGAATGTTGCGTCGCGAGGGATTCAGCGCTGCTTCATTCTTCTCCCGATAGACGGCTCATTTCCTGAATCGAATTCGCTCACCCCAGATCGGCTGATCACGTTCTCTCGGTCTCGACTTACCTCCGAAGACGGTAATAAGGGATAGGAAGATATCCTACATGTACACAATATCGTATGGATCGCGTGGACTCCGCTCTGATCAAGGTTCCACTATGGGTCGATGGCGGTGTCGGCGGACGCTTCAGTATTCGCCAGTACTGATGACGACCGCCTGGCACGGGCAGCGAAAGTTCTTCGTAGAAACGTGAAGGTACGAAGAGAAATTTCGCACCCAGCTCTAGCGGAGATTTACGTCGTTCAGCTGCCCGAGCGGCTAGCTTCGATCATGGAAGAAAAATTCCATTTATGGAATATCGCAGCTTCAAAGCGGTGTATGTGATGTGTGGGAGTGAATAGCGATTGTATTGAACCGAAGTGTGGAGCGCTTTTCGTCGAACCATCGTCAGCCACCAGATGGGGACGCGCGTGCTCAACTGAGAGGGTACTTAATACTTCAGAGAGAGTGTGGCATGTGGCCCGACCGTGTCTGAGAGCGTCATATGATCCTATAGAAGCTCAATGGTATGGTATGAGCTCGATTCCGTATGGACTCCGCTATTCGAGTCGATGATTCCATCATTATATCGGAGAGCTTAACCAAAAGACAAATCCGTATGCTAATCTTCGGATAAGATGCTCTAAATAAACACTATTCCGAATCCTCTGACTTTACGCTCGCTCATTCGTCTCACATCTGCTACTGGCAATCAGAACAAGACAATTATCTAGGCCTCCCAGTATTACTCATTCAACTAGAAGAGCGTGACAGGTTGCGGCGTCCGAGGCTGTCGCCAACGTCATTACGATATTATGCCGGCAGGCTTTTATTACCGACCCCTGAGACGATGAGCAAAATGATGCTGTTCTCGGGCCCGTTTTACGATGTGCCCGAATCCACACCGAGGCCGTGAAAGGTCCGCATGACGGTATAGCGGCCGCTCGGTGCGTCGCTGGGAACTTCGGGGCGGCGCCCGGCGTAGGAACTCCTCATTTCCGATCCATTCCGGGCAAATAAGTCCGGAGCCGCCGCGGAAGAATCTGGCGGAATCTATCATGCTCGGGTGAACCGAAAAAATCGCGCGAAAGAAGAGTTCGCCTTCCAGTCAGATGATCAGAATCCAACAAACATGCGACCGCGTAGAAGGATCTCGAAGTGCGCTCGACCGGACTAACCGAGGTCGCTCTTTTGCGGAGACATTTCCGACGGACTTCAACATCCGTGACCAAATGACGAGGAAAATCATTGCCTACAATCTGATGTTCACGAGCCACTTCCATACGTAGATGCGTTTCTGCGCATCGTCATCGCGACGTATTCGTCTGTACCGTTCTAGTCACTTCGATCCAATCCATTCGCTCGATCGCCCATTAAGGATTTTCTGTCCTCTCGCCTGATACCCTACATTCACGTTACGTGCGAAGGCGATTCTCGCAACTTCCACGACAACACAGTGGTCCTCTATGGAGGATCGTCTGATCAGTCATAGACTTACTTCAGCGTTCAGGGCTCTGAGCGAACGCTTAAGGAAACGAGGAAGCAGCCTACGCAGCACCTGACAGAAGCTCGCCCCCACCTAATTCAGAAATGGGTTCGAAACTCTCTCTGACCAAAGAAGCTCCAGCCGATCTCGATCGCCGCATACACGGCCGGCCGAGAGTCGAAAAACCTTCGCTGAAGAGTCGAAGCGTGCCTTGTCACGATGCTCATATAAGGGCGGTTTCGTCGAGGCGTTTTCGGCCGCAGAAGCAGCCGACTCAATCAACGTTCTGGCGAATCTAGCGGATCCCCTCACGTTCGACGGCGGAACAGGCAATTAGAGAACTTGCTCAAACGATTTGTACTCACGCTTGTCAAAACCCTCTGTTTTGTAATCCTCGAACGCTCCGAGCTAGACGACTGAGTTCCCCGTCGATGAACTGACTGCAAACTGGCCATAGGAATGCTCCTTTCGTCAGTCAGCAGGGATGTTACACTTGGCGCATGCGCTGTTCGCTGGAGGCAGCTACGTCGAAGATGATTTCACTCCGGATCGAGGTCCTCGCTCGACGCGCGGCCTTGTACGATCGGCGCAGAAACGGCTGAGTTCTCTGTACTCCCAGTCATGATTCACGCTCATTATGGGTTGAATGATCCCGGTAATCGTTCCGAAAATCCGAAAGGGCATGCAATTCGCTCAGTCAGCATGAACGGCAATTCAATAAATACCCAAAAAGGATCCGGAGTCACTGAAGATCAGTTTTCTGGACAGGCAGCTGAAACAGAATATGCATACTACTGTTGACTCAGGAATGAATAGTTTCAATGAGTCCTCACCATATGGGAATAAGGGTCGAGAGTTTCTCTCTGATTGTGAGTAGATTCGAAATGACCGCTGAGGAATTACCTAGATGCAAGGTGAAAGCAATCGAGCTGGGGTCGTCGACTCACTTGTTCGAGGGAGTCCTGGGGAGCACACGAGACTCCCCCATAATTCTTGGTTCATCACCCCGGATGTGATTGACTGATTGATCCATTTTTGATGAGCGGGGAGGAGAGAAGAACTTCAATTAGAGCTTTGAGTTGCTCGACCGGCAGAATTGTTCCTTCATTGAGGAAGTTTTTATGGACTCCGGTGTCAGCGATCTGAACTTCCTTCCAGAGTCAATCCATCGATGTGGATTGATGTATGATGCGACCCTTCCCTATCCTGGGTCGTCACACGCGATCGAGGATTTTTAGCTTCCTATCCACGTCGAAAGGCCTACGTACTGCGTGAGCTTTCATTATTTCGGGACGAAGCTCCGTGTGACGACCAATCTGACGTCACTTAAACTTGTGGAATTCCGTATCATTCATGACTCATAACTCATCCTTCATCACTCGTTAATGCTTTCACAATGCGAGTGGAGTTATGCCCTCGGCGTCAGTGCTTTTTTCTTGACGAGCTCTGAGCATTCAGCGAGGAGAAGACATCAGCGCTACCTTGGGAAGTGGCTGGATCCCCCCTCTTATTCCCTGCTCAACCCTGGTTCTTCCTACAATTGCAGCTCAAAATCAAAACCAGGGCTTAGCATGAGCACATGGGACCGGGAATACGGACCGCGATAAGATCGATCCCTTGGGCAGTAGTCTATGACGGAATAGAATCGGGACAATCGATGGAGCTCCGGAGAATCTCGAGCTTTAGAAGAAAAAACTCGGACTAAGTTTAAGTAGCTTTGAGCGGATTTTTTATTCTCTCATTCCTATATCTCTCTCCGTAAAAAAACTGACTAATGCGTGCAAATCGTTATTTAAGTCGGCACCGGTTCTTGCGTAGCTGAACCTCGCTCGATTCTGTAAGAATTGATGGACAAATCGTAAACAGTCCGTCTATTCGCCACACCAGACTCCATCCGAGCCGATAATTCGGATACAGCCTATAATGGATAATTAGACATCTTATATATCCGGATAGAACGTATGATCCGTTAAAAAAAAGTGTTTACAACTTCCCCGGGATGTCACAAAGTGGGTATTCGCTTCTTTTTCTGTACAAAATGTTCAAATATCAGCGATAGCGGCGGCAGGAAAAATGTTAATCGGCAGTGGCAACAGATTTGAGAAATCCAATCGTATCGAGTGACGAGTCAGTGCTCTCATGAGAGTTCTATCGCGGTGCTCGTTCGAATCAGGAAGCTGGATGTTGAATCGCCAACATTCCACCGGTGTCGGGGTTCGTCAATACGAACGTTCGAGGCGAATCATTCGGAAGGAACGCTAGTGTCGTGCGGTTCCGACATCACTAGCTCATCGTCCGTAGAAAACGTGTACCAATGAGATATCCCCGTGCTTGTCGTTTTTGCCGCCGATTCACGCGAGGTGATTTCGTGTTCTCGAGCCCCGTTCCATTGAGCTCGATGGTGCCTCGGATGGTCGGAATGACGCCTAAACGTCCAATGTTGTCTTCGCGCTTCGTAGTGGTGTCATGCATTGTGATGAGCGGAGCCAACCCCGATTCGTGTCCCGTCCGGGATTTCTCAGCTCCCGTTCATCCTCATGACCTCCGGAGACACTCTCTTCACGATTTCACTCACGACGCTGTCAAGAACCTTTTTCACTGTCGTCAGGGTCGAAATTGGTTCGGAACTTTGGGATGAGGAATACGTTTGGGATTGAAGGTCGCTCTCGTCGATTCCGTTCGCCTTGCTTGCACCGTCCGACAAAACTCTGTCGTTTTCCGGGAGCCCGGGAGCCTCCAAGCGGTTGGCAGTTCCGAGGGGCTCAGCTTCTTCTTCTGGTTCTATATGTGCGCATCCTGTGGAAATTCATCCGGCTCGTATTCTATTAGGTCTAGTCCTCTGACACGTGGGTGATTATTCTCTGATTCATCAAGTCCGGCAATCAGAAAATCACGCATCCGCCTGGATGAAACGCAAGAAACTCACCGTTCGCGACAGCCTGGCCGTTGAGTCCGTTGAGGGTAACCCTCTTGTGCGCATTCTTCGGCGGTCTACCTCGCTTCCGAGCTCCGGGAACTTTTTTCAGGAAGGGGAACTTGTCATTGTCTTCTTGCAATCCTCCGGCTAGATGGTCGGTGTTTGGTCCGATTTCTTCGGTGGGTCGTACGGCCTGCTCCGGCACGTGATCCCCATTTTCCACATCGGAGATTTTCCGTTTGACCGCTTTGAAAGTCAAACGCGCGAATTGACGAGCCTTGAGCGATGTCACTCTGGGTAGTTTACCTTCGGAGAGAGAAAGGGATTATGAGCGTTCGCGGGGCGGCATTCAGAGAGAGAAACCCGACTGATGTACCTATATATTCGTTTTCCAGGAACACCCACCCGATTCGCTAGCATCCAGAGACTTCAGCTGATGGCTGTATTCGACGAATATTCGCTGCAGTTTCAAGTTGGTCGCGACGGAAGGCAGAAACTCTTTGAGGAGTTCTCGTTTGTCCAAATCTAATATCCTCGAATTCCAGTGCACGGGCACATCGGCACCCACTGGACCCAGGAGATCATCGAGGACATGTCGCAAACGTAACTCCATGCCTTCTTGAGTAAGGTAACGAATTTGAGTGGCGAGCCAATAACGGTATTCCTCTTTGGAGCAGAGGAGTTTGGAGGCGTTCATCTCCGACTCGATGAAAGCAAGGGTGGTGGATCTCTGAATGGCGGGATTCGTGAGAAGACTACTCCGATTCCGCTCGACTGTGGCCTTGAACAACGAGCCCTGGAGTCGCTCGAGAGGTCCCTTGGCCGTATAACCCTCGAGAAGGCCAGGGAGTGAGCTATAGTGATCCGAGCACTGACTGATCAAATCGGCATTGGCGCTTACAAGACACCTAGATGAGAGAAAAACAGCTGAATTGACATAACGATATCGAGCCGGAGGGATTGGTCCGTTCCCCGATAGCCAAACGATCAATGGAAATTCTTCTTTTTTTCTCCGTGAAAGTACGAACCACGATTGCGATTGTTTATCGAATAAGTAGCTGCGTCCGTTTGAAAATGTGACTACGGCCCAGCCCTCGGCGATTATATTGGCGGAGCGCAGCGGAGATCCTCGATTCGCTTGTATGAGAGGTCGGAGATCTTCGCTGAGAATCCTTCTCATACCGATTTCGGAAACTTTTTCTACATCATATACACAGAGTTTACCTGGAAATCAAGAACATCAAATGAGATGACTCGCACGGCTCGATCGCCTCCGGTATCAACTGTGACCCTTCCGGGAATCCCATTTTAATTATCACGTTCTTCATCTCACTGACCGTCAGATGTGACGACCAAGCAGAAGTTGTCCCGACAGGTCAACTGAGCTATCGTCGAGCTGACGAGCAAAGGAGTACAAAGCCTGCGACCAGTTCGAGCGCAGAACAGAGTCAGAAGTTGATCATCCCCACACACGCAGACGATTCGCGAGGTGGCTGCGACAGCCACCAGACGGCCACCGACGACGGCGTCCCAGATCTGCAACGATCGAATATGGTAGTTTCACCATGAAAAAATGCATACCCGAAGGAATCTGCCAACCCCCTCGCGATCACTATTCCCCCGCCGACTCACCTCGTGATGCATAAGCGGGGTCAATTCACTCGAATTGTTTGTAGATTTGCAGATGACTCGGGACAGGGTCGAGCCCCCTGGAGCCGGGACATCCGTGACCACTTCGATCGAGAAACTTGAGAGGAAAAAAACATATGTTACTCCGGGCTAGAGGCTGGGGAGAGATCGTTCCGATGCAGGTCCTCCGTCATGGGAATCCAAGCTTGTGATTCTGTCTCACCTTTGGTCGACCTTGATGACACATGGTTGTTTAAGCCGCAGAGCCGGGAAGATGGAGGACGTACCTGAGCCCGAAATCGCAGCTACCAGAGGTGCGGCGACCAGTTGCGTTGGTACCTTCAATTCAGAGACAATCTCACAATTCTATCTCCTGAGACTTGATCTTCCGCCAAGGGCTACATCTTGGACAACAGGCTCCCGTCGCGTGTGATGTATCTCACCTGAGGTTGCTGTTGATAATATATTTGTTGCTGGACTGCTTCCGAGCGTGGTGCGGTAGCTGCTTCATACTGTGCGGTGCTGGGAACCGCGGGCTCCGCTTCTAGCGCGGCAGCCACCATCGTTGGCTTTATCCGCTTGGGTTTTCCTTTTCCCGGAACTGCAGCGTTACTCGCAATGGTCAAAGTCGCCGTTGAAACAGGTTGAGACGTTGACGCGGCCGCGGTATTGTTGTCCTTCGTTTTGGCAGCGGCATTGGGAAGCTGACGAGGGGGCTCCTCTATCGCTCCTGTGGGGGCCATCGAGGCTAGCGGCGGCAACGAGTTCGACTCGCGCTTTTCAACAATGATTTTCGACCTTTCCATGGTAGAACTGCTGAAGGTTGGTTGACCCAAGTCTGGACCCTCAAGATCAAGAGGAATGTACAGTGGAGTGATACGTCTCCTTCCGTTTGGCATGATGGTCTCGATTTGGCGGTCTGTGGGACCTTTGGCGAGACGTTGGCTCGATAGGAGCGAGGTGTTACTTTGAGTTTGAGATATGTCGGGTTTGGGAGCTTGAATCGTCTGGAAGGAACGTCATATCGGGATATTCGTATTGTTTTGGGAGAGAGTCCGTGGATCGCCGAGCAGTGACCGAAGCCGCATGCTGAGAAATGAATTCTATGTAGGTTTTTGCTCACCATTCCATTCGTCTTGGCTTTTTCGTGCGCTTTCAGAACGTCCACGTTCTCTACGAGGATGTTGCTCACGGAAGATAAGGCTCCGACAGCTTGCCCTGAGAATCCGTATATTTTGTGGAAAAAACTTGTTCTTTCGTCCGCCGTCAGTGGTTCGCCCAACTCCTTCATCGAGAAGTCCAGAACTGCGAGACTGCCATCGGAAGAGCAGACGAGGAGTTGACTCGAGACGGGGTTCCAACTCGCGTCCACGACAGAGTTCGTAAACAGATCATGGACGACACACAGTGGTCTACGCTTATCGTTCAGCCAAACGGAGACCGAACGGTCTCTGGAACCAATCGCTAGACACGCGAAGTACTCGGTTTGGCCATCCTGACCAGTGCGTTTCATAATGCTCGGGAAGAACCGGACGACCGCCACGGCTTTGCGATGCCCAACAAAGTCTTTATCCGTTTTCCACGTGCCTCGTTCGATGATCTGGGCGGTTGGACCACCGTTGTTCATAGCGTGCGCGGAGACCAGGTATTGGCCGTCAGGAGACCAGTTCAGCCTCAGCACGTGGGTCGTACCTGTGGAGAGTGAAGGAGATGTAAGCCTTGAGCTCTCGATCAGGCAACGCTAAGGAAATGGCCTATCCGTTGCATCGGAGAAGTCCGGTATGATACGGAAGCCACTCACCCCCGCATTCTTCGAAGGGCTCTTTGATCACACACTCCTGTTGCCAATCGTGCGTTCGCCAGATCCTGATAGTTTTGTCGTCGCTCTGAGTCGCTATGTATTTACCGACAGGATCCCAGCTCACGCCCTGCAGGAAGGAATCACCAGCTTGGAAATTGATCGATATTTTGTTCGCAACGACTCTAGTTCGAGTGCTTCCGCAGCTAAGTCGGACGTGGATACACCTTCACCCACCTTTACAAAACCTTGATGTCCTTTGAGGATGGCCACTCGATCGTGCCATCGCCGAGTACTCCATATGATGCAAGTCGTGTCCACGGAACACGAAGCGATATATTGGTCAGATGGGCACCAGGAAACATCCAAGATATCTAGAAGGCAATGATCGCAAGGTTCGAAAGAATGTCAGTACATAGTCGGTGTGTTCGGACGTTGGATGTATGCACAACAGATCTACTTTGAAAAAATATTTAGAATCAGGTACGATCTACCTCCGTCATGCCCCTTCAAGCAGGCAACAGTACGCCATTGTTCCACGTTGGCTTTCCCAAAGGCTGCTCCGTATGAGCCCGGTCCAGTTATCGTACGACCTAAAAGGCGACGGCTTGAAAAATGACTCGAATGTACGGTCACACGCACAAGCATCGAATTCAGCATTTCTCGGCGCTCGGAATCGATTCGAACCCGTTGAGCTCACCTATCTGCCAAATCATGATTGTTTTGTCGTCTCCGGTGGAAGCGAGGAATCGACCGTCGTGGGACCAACGCACGCAATTGACGCACGCTGAGGAAGACATTTATTTTTTTCTTAGCTGTTATCGCTCCAGGCCCCTTGATAGAAAGTTCGATTCGGCGGATCGTACTCACCCAGATGATTCGTTAATTGACATAGCAGTTTTGGTACTGTTTCTCTACGTTCCTCATCTGCGCGCAAAACGGGACCCATACTCCAGATGCAGACCTGCGAATGTTGAGGGCCTAGCTGAATACCTCTGGTACAAACGAACAGTATCGAATATTCGCGCCTCATAACCCTATAATAGGTGATTTAGAGTTCCTCAGTCCCTCACCTGGCCGCAATCCTGACCCTGACCGCCGGTCGCGAAACGGCTCCCGTCGGGATGAACATCGCAAGAGAATATGGGATTACCTTGAAAGGATCATTTGAATTTAGTCTGGGGGGACTACGTCTGGTAGCTCGACGGATTTCCGAACCAGCCGAAAATCACTCATTCCGATCCCCTCTAAAAGCTGCATCGACTTGACTCGCTCTGCACGTACGCTTCAAGACTGGCCAACTCTAAAACAGAGTTTGTAACCTATGATCGGGATACCCTTAGGAACGAGCCACTGGTCGATCGTTAGCTACCATCGGAGCTCACTGCTCATTTAATTGTTCTCAGTGAGCGGATCCATCCGATCTCCCTCGGATGGGCTCCCCGAGTGTGACGATGTGCAAAATTTTCTGGACTCCCACAATCATAGAAAAGGCCTGATTTCAAACGCGTATCCATTGACTAAGACTGATCTGAGCAAGGCACAGAACTCCGGAAACGCAAAGCTCACCGTCGTGGCTGACCCAAGTGGGTTTGTAAAGCTTCACCATTATGGCGATGAGACGATAACCGATCCGCCGCCGCAGTCGGGAGAGCCGAATGCCAACCCGACGGGACAGGGATGGCAAAGATGGTAATGTGGATCGTCGGCGAACGTGATGGCCGTAAGTGTCGCCGCCACTGTCGTGATGTTGTCTCTGTCCTCAGCAAGAAATCACAAAGAGAAAACGCCGCCGGAGCCGATGTCGACTGAGGAGCGATTCCAGCCGGCCAAAGCGATGCTCTGGGGCAGATCGGGGTTTCCAGACGACTCCATCACATATCCACAGAACGAGCTCGACTTTCCAGCTGCACTTGATCTTCTTGTCCCTGGCGGTCTTGCTTCCGTTACGATTGCTGATTCCTGCCAGTAGTGCGGTCTTTCTTTGTCGCTCACCGCAGCTGCCACCCGCTCAAAACAGCACCGGATAGCGGTCACCGTCGATGATGGGACACTGTTGGCAGCGGTAACTCCTCCGGCGAAAATTCCTTCCCTCGGAGCGCCGAATCTCCCATTCAGAAAGACGGAATATGTACACGGGAACTGCCAGGAGCACGGTGGAGCAACAGCAGGGATGCCAAAACAAAGAGAGCGTCTTCGTCGTCGTCGTTATCAAACACGTCGGGAACACACGCTCCTAAGCACTTCGGTGGTTGAATTTATCATGATAATGATTGCGGACGGCGTCGAATAAAACACCGACGAAAACCAATAATGGAAGTTAATTACTGCTCGTCGTTCCCTATCCCGAACACACACACTCTCTCGCACGACACACTCAATGTGTGTTTGTTGTGTTCGCTATTTCCTCCTCTATTCTCTCTCTTTGTTTTTCTCTCGCTGGTCTCATCCCTCGGTCGTTGTCGACCTTCTTCGGTCCTTTCTCACGAGAGCTGCCGCTCGGTAAATCCGGCTGCCCCGGACTGCATGGCGTAGCTTCGTACGGCGGTTCGGAGAAAGCTCAAGGTGCATACGAGTCTAGGTTAGAAATTCTCTGCGAAACTCCGTGCCAGAAGAACGGGCGGTAAAAAACCCAACAAAAATGGAATTCGTCTACAGTAGGAGGGCGAAAGCGATGATGTTGATGATCTTTGTCACCTTCCAAGCGCTGTTGGGCGCTTCATCATCGCAGCTCGTTCTGGACTCTCCAATGTCGGTTCTTGGAAGGTCCGATACTTCTCCGATAGTGAGAGATTCCATTCCGTGGGCGGGATCTCACGAGACAATGACCTACCTTAAGTCCGAGCAATCAATGGGATCGCAATTGATTGTACATGGAATCCTGATACGCAGGGGGAGGAGGAGCACTACGGCGCCAGACCCAGCGAGATAACGGCAGCCGGCATCGAGAGATGCAGAGCTCCGCCGGAGATAGCAATCTCCCGTCTCCGTGGACTGCGATAATTGTAACGCATGCTCGATCCGAGCGATGATGACCGAGTGGACTCACTCGGAATGAGTCTTGGGAAGGGATGTCTCCCTGGCCGAGATCGATTCAGCAGATACCGGCAGGAGAGAAACTGGTAGGAACGCGGCAGTTATGGCCCGAAAATCGACGTTCCCACGGGTTCAGTAGATGAATATTCCTGAGAAAGACTCAGGCCGCATGCTCGAGGCTTCCTCCGGCTTCCGGGTTTGCCAGGAGCGTACTACCCGCTATATTTCCTTTATCGGGTAATGTCGCAGCGACTTGATAATATTGTTTTTCGTTGCTCGCCGCCGAGGGGAAGGCAAATACAAGTCCCGCTAAGGATTGAGCGAGAGTAATTTCGAAGGGTTTCTCGAGAGATAGAATCATGGGCCATGGAATGGATAGGACATCGAATACGATGCATACTGGGGTCGGTGATCTTCGCCTGTCACCGAATTGAGATCGGACGCTTGAACGAACCGGGATTATTTGCGCCGCGCGGGCGTTAGAATCGTTCCCGCTTTCACAGTGAGTTCCTCCAGAGGTCTCGATGTCAGTGGAACGGAAGCTCAGCATCCCATGATAATGATTCAGGGATCGGAAGTTCAGGCAGAATACCGAAGGTGCCTCAAATCGCCTATCCTTGAGGCCTCGTCAGCATTCTTCTCCTTCTGAGGAATTTCGAAAGTTTTGCCCCCTTCGCATCTCCGCCCATCGGATTTCTCCATCCGCTCAGGCGGCGTAGAGTCCATACCATTTCGTCGATTACAAGTCTCGATTTATGGGACGTTCATGAATCATGATTAATTTCTATTTTCCTCGTGATCTTGCCTTTTTCGTATGAGTTGTCCTTCTACATAAAGGAGTCGAACGATGCTGCTCCCTCTCTCAGGTCGAGCAGTGAAGCTGGGCCATCCCGGTGCGGTTCCCCGGGTTGTCGATCCTGGAAGCCTAACGCCTGATTCTCGCAGAAGTCTTCCAAAGCTTCCGTAGATGCGCCTCGCACCCGAATGATGGGCGACTACTGTACTACAGGGATTTCAACTACTTCCGCCTTTGGCCGAATTGATTCGAGGTGGGCGGCTCAATTAGCCGGATATATTCAAGCTCTGCGAGCGCGGAAATATCCACAGCGTTGTACACTAACGCAGTGGTAAGAACTGCTTGTGATCCAACGAGAAGCAAGGATGAAATCCCTAAGGGATTCTGAGAGATCAGGTACTTGAAAGTTATTGTGAGTAGCTCTCAGATACCTTGTATGCAATAGGGTGTCTGGGATGGGGCGCCCCAGCGTCAACGTGAGGGGGACTCAGAATAACGATAAGCAGAATAGGAGTGATTTATACAGCTGTCACGAATTTGGATATCTCGGACAGGGAACTCAAGTCTACGCAGGTATTGTGGCGGCTCGCAGGAACATCCGTATCATTGATCAGATCCGAATCTTCTTTCTTCTAATAGTTCCGCGCGGCGCATGGTAATTACCGCATCGTATTTGAAGTGCCCGCAGATAATCACAGCTTGATTGTCCTCGTAGTCAAGTCCAGAGGACGCGAAGTCAAGTCAAACCTTGTCGCCATGGATCGATTCATTCGGGTGTCAAGAAGCTTGCAACAAGAGCGCGCAGAAACAATAATGGTCCGAACTCTGCACTTCATGGAGAGGTTATCCGACCATCGGTACGGGCTCCGTATACTTTATCCCATGAATCGTCACTCAAATAATATGATTCACCATCGGATTTCACCCGACCCTTTCCTCGTCCACGCCATCTGACATGAACAGCTGACCTCAAATAAAACGACTTCCGCTAGTTTCGACCATTAGGCTCACCGCCAATTCTCGCGGTGATCAATCCGGGATCATTGGTTCCTATCTGACGTGTGAACATGCGCGAACAGCCACCTATTCAAAGACTGGGATTTTCCGTTTCACTTCCATCGAGTCGGTTGCGGCTTCCGAGTTCTCGGCGCGCTCCCGCGGTTCCATTCAATAGAACTCATAATTTTGGGCCTGAATACGGCTGGGGCGAACCGCGGTATCGAGCTATTTCTGAACTCCGGGGCGTGCATGAAGGAGTCCTATATGATTTTCTTTTCCGAAAACAGCGCATTTTTTCCGAGGAACTCGGTTCCAGTGCCTCTCTATGACCCTCACTCAGAACTTCCAATACCTATTGCTCGTCGATATTTCGGTGGATGAGATAATTCAGCCGTCTCCGCTTATTTTGAAAAACCGGCGCTATTGAACGACGTGAAGGCTGGAGAACAAGATCGAGGTGACTTGTCCCATGGACTCAGCGGCTCAAAAAGAGACGATTGTATCGATCCCGTCGTACAAAAACTCACTGCGAACCGAAGACAAGGCGAAAAAAGTGATTGCTCGATCGAAAAGAGAGGGCTCGGACCCTCGCTCCTGCTTGCCTCGGATATCCTCAACCCGTTCGCAGAGACCTCTGCTCCCCAAAATGAGTCACACTTTTCCCTGATTCTGTCAGGGGAAGTCCCCGAACCGCTTCCTCATTGAGGAATGGTGCCCTTATGAGATCTATATTCGCCTACAGCTCTTGAGAGCTTTTAGGGAACGCACGATCATGTTTGCGATCGAATATACATATATCAAGGCATGCTCCTCGGGCATCGAGCAACAGGGGTTCGCTGAAGGTTCGATAGATATCGACCCCTGCCACATGTCAACACTAGAAATCGTTGTTGACCGAATCCTAGTTCCCGTTGTGCGCCGTCGGGATTCTCGTACGGTCAGCTTTGATGAGTCCTGAGCCGGGGAGTTCCCTCAAACCCGCCTAAACCAGAGCGATTTGAGAGCAATTCCCGATGAGATCCAAAGAACTGATTCCTCGCGGTATTTGATGATGAAAAGATAAACACATGAACCTGTAATAGCAAACTCGTCGATCCTCCTGATATGTTTGCCGGTTCCCGCTAGACCGGATAGTTGAGGAACTCCGTCATGAAGAAAATCCATCGAAATTATTCCTCTCTGCTGGCACCAGCGTTTTCGTTTCTATGAGGTTATATTATATCGACCAAATGCATGGATATTTTCACAAGTACCGTATTTGCGACCGTCTCACTGATGTGTCAATGTTTCGAAGGAACCATGCGCTCGGCTCCGTGCCAGATACCATCGGCTTTGGGGAGGATCTCCGAGATGGTTGCTTCGTCAGCTCTCGCTTGGCAGCTAACACTCCGAGGTTTTTCGCCCCTTGGCGGTTGAAAAAGAATAATTCTGATTCATTCGCGGGTTTTCCGCAGCTCAAGGTACCTCTCTAAACAAGCCACGTAAATCTCGTTCTATCACGTGTCATGACTCCATGACAGGACCTCCACCGACCCCGAGTATGATGCAAGATACACAGCTGATGTACGTAATTTCTGTATCGGAACCGCAGTCATACCGCAACACGGAGACGAATAGAGATTTCGCGATGCCGCAAACTCTGACGGGCTCTGGTCTCACAGGAGCAATTCCTCATTGGGCTGCTCGATCACTCGGCTGACATAGGGTACCTAGTCCTCGCTGGAAACGATTGCTTTCGGATCCCGGGCGCAGCGATGTTCCCCCTCATTCGAGCCGGCGCTGTTTCTCGATCACATGCTTTAAGTGCATTCGCACTCGAACTCTGGCTTGCACGTTCTGAGCATTCGGATTAGATGGAGGCGCGGAGGACCTTTCCTGATGATGATATACAGAAAAATCGCGGCATTTCAGCAATTCAATGAAGTTTCGTCGCCGTGGGGCGCGAATGAAGCAAGACCGTCCCTTTACCACGATCCATGGCGGGATGGTGGAATTCCATGGGTCGACGTCTGGGAGGTAGTTGGCTCATCGATTCGATATTCCTCACCCGGTCTCTCAGTCTCTCCCAACATGCGATAGGAGGCGGGAAATTCCAAGACGAGTCGTTGACGAGCCGGATAAGATAGACAGAGCGTTAACTCCAGCAGTCTCATTCCAGTGCGTTACGTCGGGAGCCGGCAGAGGGCGCTCACTCTCTGGTTGTTGTGGTGAGACCAAAGCTCGATTGTGCTGCGCGAAGATCTGCAACGTTCTCGTCGGATCGTCGCCTGAACTCGCGAGAGCGATGTCCTCCCAAAACCAAGAGCTTCGTGACTTGATCGACAAGTGGCTGCGATGGGATCAGGTGAGAAACCCCCGCCTACGCTGGACTGATACTCAATTCTCTCGGTACCCGAAGCTGGCGCAGCAAACTCGCGGAAGATTCGCTCTCTATCATCGTTGTTTACCTGACACTTGATCCCATGGGAGCCAGCGAAACATACACGTTTGACAGAGGCCGCATACAATGATAAATTTAATCTCGGAGCTCATAGAATTTTCCTCATCTCTCGGAGTGTCGAACAGGCAGTCTCTCCTCGCTCATCCGGTCTCGATCCATGACACATGGGGTCGAAAAATGCTTGTTGAAAATAGAAGCGACTCTTATAGCCTTCCGGAATTCGCCCGGCTTCTCATATGTACACACTCTCGATGTCATACACTCTGGATGAGCTCGGCTCATCGTTCAAGCTAATGAGTTTCAGACCATCTAGGACATCGTTCCATGAGTTTCAGCCGGTCCGTCATGACCAGAGATTCCTTTAGAGCGGTGGGGATCGTCAAGCTCACGATGACGAGATTTTATTTAGACGGTGATACTGGATGGTCACTAACTCCCTCGAGCATTGTACCAGACATGAACCTTCATTGATATTCATGACAAGTCCCACCGCCCGAGGGAATCCTCGATGATGCTCTGACGATTGAGATGCGTGACACCGACTTATCCCCAGGTGGAATTATTTTACAAGAGACCCAGCTACTGCTCCTTGTCTAACGATTATGACTCTCTTATCCGTCGCTCTCGATCGCATTGATAAGATTGGGAGAAACGTCACTTCGCTCCACCATCTCTCATCTCTGACCTTCGACCATTCTCCGAATACGAGAATCATCGAGTTCCATCGAGAGGCGTAATTCAGTCCGTGATTCAGGAATTTAGCTCTTAGCGTCTCGGAAGCACTCGGGAATGATTGAAGGGATCCACCTATTACGCAGCACAGCTCGTAGAGAATGCAGTCATCCGCCTCAGCGATGCGAACAAGGAATCCGACGCAAAATCAATTCGACCGTGGAATGAATAGAGAGGGAAATCGGGAAATAGCCTCAGGCTCACCGGGAATTCCTCTGATCAATTCCAGAACCCGGAGACGAGCGCAGCCATCCGGAAGCTACTTGCGGATGGCGAGTTCGACCGCCTCAGAAAACTCATGCTGAAGAGGATGACATTCGGAACCGCCGGACTCCGAGGCGTCATGGCCGAGGGATTTGCGTGTATGAATGATCTTGTCATCATTCAAACTTCGCAAGGTCTCGCGAAGTATCTCGTGGAGAACATCGCGGACGCAAGAAAGATGGGGGTGGTAATCAGTTTCGATGGACGCCACAACTCGCCTCGGTGAGTGAGTTCTTTCGCAAGACTCAGAATATCAATGAATCAGCCTAAAACCGAGACCGAAACTCTGTACGTAGAACGGTTCCTCGGAGAGTACTTCGAGTTCTCCTTTGCACTCTCCTTCGTGAGCCCGGGAACTTTCCATCCTGCGCAGATGGTCTAGGACTCGTAAGATGAGAATCTAGACCTGAGGATCCCGAATACCTCGAGGCTGAGAATTTCCGCCTCACAAAATTTCGTTGAGTTTCCGGAGCCGTCTTGTCAGAATGCCGAAATGATATTGAGCTCTCCGATATTCTCAGCAGTCCATAGAGTTCCGGAGTACGACGTGACTCCGAAAAAATTGGCGTGACCCACCGGTGGGGACTCGCCGCTCTTGGTTCGCGCTGTTAGATCAATATCGGGATCGGAGCTTTATTGGGATGGGAGCCAATATTTATTAAAGCGTGCCTCAAACCTCGGTCTGGATCTATTGATCAATAATAATATATGCTACGTTTCGATAGATGCATCCGTTTTCTTAAACTATAGGTCGAGCCTCGCCTTGAGTGATTCCGGCGATCACTCCCCACACGACGCTTGAATTATACTTCTCCGGGATTTGATTGAGTTTCAATGGAGCATGCACACTTCCGCTAGGAACAAGGATGGCGAATTCCCCCCTCATACCGAGCGCCGATTACACCATGTTATGAATGCTTCGAGCCATTTGCTTGGCCATGTACTCCCAGCTGTTTTTCGCCACAAGGCGAACCTTCTCGACGAACTCGTCCCAGCTGTCCTGAACTTGTTGGGAGAATTGCACCAGGGTGGGATCAGTTTCAGAGAGTTTTGGGGATTTTGATTCGAACTGATCGTACTGAGCTGATGCCTCCGCCTTCGCCTGATGAGCCGCGAGTCCTGACGAATTAAGAAAGGAACAGATTATTCTCATACGATCGTTATAATGGGTGTGATTTCCGAGCCATCCGATAGGATCGGTTCCAATCACAAGGAAACCGAAAGCAGCCCTTTGCAGTGAAGAATGGAGCGGGCATCAGGCTAATGAGCTTACCTTTGTAGAACAGACAAACTCTGTCGGGGCCGACGTGCTCCACATCCACGAATCCTTCTCTGTGAATTTCCTCGAAAAACTCTTCCGAAGACGCTGGAGACGGAGGCTCTGTGGTCGTTGTGGTCGTTGAAGTGGTCGATGTGCTGGTCCTAGAGCTGCTGGTCGGTGTAGGACTCGCTGTCGCCCGGTCGGGCTCGCTCATCACCACTGTCCTGTGCAGCGGACCGATTGGCAGAGAGCTGTTCGATCCCAAAGCCATGCGGATCATGTCAAAGAGGACGCGTCGATGCAACTGTCGGATGGCGACGTCTTTTATCTCTGCGTTGTCCCTCAGCTCTTCTAGGAGCTGAGGCAGAAGACTGCTGGGAATTTCTTTGGGTTTCTCGACTTTTTTCACCGCCCGGGTTGGCTTCACGGTCGACGGCCGCCGCGTCGTGGAAGTTGTTGTCGTTGTCGTCGTTGTTGTCGAGGTCGCGCTGGGGGCGGATGGCCTCGGGTGTTCCTTTCTCCTCTCTAGTAGACTCTGACCTAGCAGATTCCAAAGCCTCTCTGGACTGTTGTTGTCTTGGACTGCCGAGCTCCGCTGCGAGCCGGTAGATAGGCGGCTGTAGATCTGCGGGAACAGAGCGGCCAAGCTCTGCTCTTCCAGACGATCATCGATCGTAGCGGAGCGTCCTACACTGATCGGTTTGGCTGTCACTGATATTTCGGAGACGAGTTTCCTTCCCGATCGAGGGGGTTTCTCAACTCGAGCAACACCTGAGGGAGGTAGTCTGTCTAAAACTGTCACTTGAGCGGAGAGCGTGCTCGTGAGCTCAGCTGGTGCCCCGGTTTCTGTCACCAGAACTGAACGGGGAGTCGTCGTAGATGCCAGAGCCACAACATTTTGATGCGAGAGAACTATTAGAACCACAGCGAAGCACCACGGAGGCAAGGAAATTTGTTGCGAAGCCAACATCGCGTATCCAGAGTTTTATCTGTTGGTGAACCAATCGAAGTGATGCCAGGCGCTTCTATCCACCCCGTTTATATACCATTGTGCATGTTGTGACGGCTGGAGGGAGGAACCAGTTTCACGCATGGTTTTGCTTCCGAAATGTTTCAACGAATTGCTGCTAACCCAGTGCTGCCGGCTGGCACGTCCGCGCATTGTCCGTCCATGGCCGGAAACACATCGCCAGGCCGAAAGGCCCGTTATCCGTGTCGCCAGAGACTCGGAGTTGTTAATTAGAAATGTTCGATTGTCCCACTTGTAGGATAGCAGTAGCAACTTCCCAAATCCTCGGCCGTTGTCCCATCGCTCCGATTCGATGACAGGGGTCATTCGTAGAACGTATTCATTCTCTTTCGCAGATTTGCGCGTTTGACTGCTCGAGCTTTCCTACAGTTGGGCGTGAAAGTCTTCTTGTTCAACCGGGTCACGCCCACGCCTTACGTGCCTTTCTCGATCCTGCATTTCGGGGCCGCTTGCGGAGTCATGGTCACGGCCTCGCACAATCCCAAAGAGGACAATGGTTACAAGGTGAGAGCCTCATGGATCTGGAGATCTCTGCTCATTGCAGAAGGGGGGTGCGGAACGATTGAATTTTCATTTGTGATCATTCTATCAGATGGGTGTACGAGTGGGTAAGATGAGCAATATTCTAGGTGTTCTGGAGCAATGGGGCCCAGATCATTTCGCCTCATGATAAAGGCATCCAAACGAGTATCGAGAAAAATTTGGAGCCGTGGAGTCAAGCTTGGGACGTCGACGATCTGCGAAACAATGCTCTTCTGAACGATCCGACAGAAGAGATCAACAGCAACTACATGCAAATCATCGAGAACAACATCTTCGACCGGTAATTCACCGGGGGGAGGAGGACTTAGGCATGGTCTCGGGGATTCGATATTGCTCGCGGAGGAGAACACCTATCTACGTCACTATCATCAGACATAGATTGACGATGTAGACAGAATCGGGAGCCGCTGCAACTTCCAGCCTGTCGCGGTCGAGCCTTGGCGGTTCGGGGGTCCGAGGAGAGTTCTCGCTCCGTGAATTACACAGTGCCCGGAGTTCAGAGAGCAGCGGGATCACTCCTTCAGCGGGTTGTGATGATTGAGACACACTGAGACAGCGGCACGCTGTAACGGTCCACGGGTCGCGGAGGGGCAAACTCTGGCCGGTACCGGCAAGAGTTCTGATCGAAATGTCTCGAAAAATTATGATACGACTCGCTAATCCGATTTTCATTCCTCTGAAGCGACTTGATCAAGCGCTGCCGCACCGCTTTCTGTTTCACTGCAATGCACGGCGTCGGCCATCGATATGTAGCGGAAGCTTTCAAACGCTGTGGCATCGCCCGATCGTACCCCGTGCTGGAACAGATGGAGCCGGATCCTGAGTTTCCGACCGTCAAGTTCCCCAACCCAGAAGAAGGCGCAAGTGCACTGGCGAGTAATTACCGCTGATCCACGACCTGAATGACGATTCGAGGAGTCTTGGAGAATTTCGCTTAATTTGTGCTCATCTTCCAGGAGCTGGCCATCAGAACGGCAAATAAGAATAATTGCAGAATCATCCTCGCAAATGATCCCGACGCCGACCGTCTCGCGGTGGCCGAGCTGATAGATCAGTCCCACGAGTTCAGAACTTTCAGTGGTGATAACCTGGGAGCTCTGATAGGTGCGTTCAGACTCCCGCGATCGAGCTCTCGCTGAATAATAATGCAGCATGAAATCATCCCAATCCAAAGACGACCTGTTTGGGGTCCTTCATAGTTCCTCAAGCGCTCCGGAAAACCATCGCCATCTACTTATCACTTCGTCTTCCAGGTTGGTGGCTCTGGACGAGGCATAGACTCAGCAACCCAAAGTCGGATCCATCGGATTTCGTGATGATAGCCAGCACAGTGTCTTCGAAAATTCTCCGATCAATGGCCAAGAAAGAAGGCTTCAATTTTGAGGTGACCAAGCTCTTCGGTGGTGGCCGGATCCGGCATTCTAGTACTTCTGGCGTGGCGAAGATCTCGCCTCTCGTCTTCGTGCATCAGCCAAGTTTCCGCTAAGTTCCGAATCCTCGATTGAATGGGAAAAATAATCGTACTTCCAGGAAACCTTGACCGGCTTCAAGTGGATGGCAAACAGGGGAATAGAGTTGGAGAAACAGGGCAAAAAAGTTCTTTTCGCATTCGAGGAAGCTATCGGTTACATGTGTGGCACAGCAGTCTGGGACAAGGATGGTGTTTCGGCAGCGCTGCAGGTGGCCAACATGGTCGCTTACCTTGATGAGCAAAATGTCACGCTGAATGAGCAGCTCAACCGCATCTTCGACGAGTATGGATTCCACACCACGTACAATTCCTATTACATCAGCCACGATCCCGTCGCGACTGGCAAGATGTTCGACAGAATACGGAACATTGACGGTCCGAATACTGTAAGTATCAGTTCATGGAAGACGGGAGCAATCGGGGCGAATAGGATGCAGAGTACAGGTGGCGCTCGAGTCGGCCATTGTCAGAGCGTGTTCCTGAGCCTGGGGACTTACTTTTCCATACGATGCTCATTTTCCCGCAGTACCCGAAGAAGATTGGACGTTTTGCTGTTAGCGGCGTCCGAGATTTGACTGTCGGTTTCGATAGTACGCAGCCCGGCAACAAGCCCATCCTTCCAGTGAGTTCATCCAGCCAGATGATCACGTTCTACATGGAGAACGGGGCCACGATAACAATCCGAACTTCGGGGACAGAACCCAAGGTGAAATGGTACTCGGAGCTGATCACGAAACCAGGTGTCCCCAGATCGTGAGTATTCCCTGCTTCTCCCAGCTCGAGCCCTCCTCCCTAGCCCTTAAGAGAAAGACGCCTCCCCGTGTGACTCGACGCTGCAGTTTATTTCTATCCCTCTTCCCGGAGAGCGATCCTCCTAACTATCTGGAATTTTTCAGTGAATGGGAATCAGCAACAAAGGAGCTGCGCGAGTTGATTGATTCCATGGTGGAAGAATTGTACCGGCCGTCGATTTACGGCTTTCAGGCTCGATCCACCTAAGGACCAAGTGGACCACATCGAACCGCACGCTGTAATCGCTCTTCTAGATCCGAAAATTGTCAGCAGGAAGGAGCTCGCTGACGATGGAATCGGAAGTTGGAGATATCCAGATGATGTACCATGTGATTGATTGACTTCCACGGGTTTAGTGGCTCGTCGACAGAATAAATGCCGCATCTCGAAACTTTGCATTCCCTTTGATTCCTGAGGTTTAGAACATGCATAGAAAATACACTTTCGCGTTTACGTTTGGTGAAGAGTAGGATGAGATGGGATGGACAATAATCCGTGATTGATAATTATTCCCTTTATTTGTCTTCGACATGGAGTCTCGAGCGGATCCTGTGGTCTGAGGCTCGCGGTTGCTTGAATGAACGGGGTCCCATATTTGGAATCCGACGAATCGAATCGCCGTGCGCCAGTGCGAGCCATGGCGATTCGCGAATGATGACTGATTGAATCAAAGCAGTCTGACTTATATATATGGCATGTCGACAATTCTTGCTCGGCAGCTGCTTATCGGCAAGTGTACATCAGAAAAATTCTGTCGACGTTCGGGCATTCCTGAGGATGTCTCCTAAGTCGTCTTGTCGATGTTGTCTCGTTCTTGATCGACATCGCGATAAATCGTGTCCACGATAGGGGGCAGGGTTTTTGCTAATTTGGAGAATTCTTCGAAATCTAGTTTACCGTCACCGTCCTTATCGAATTTACCGACGATGTTCTTTGCACACTGAGCGTGCTGTGGGTTCGCGAGAACCATCCGCCCAGTCAGCTGCATCTGCTGAAAAATTACGGAGAGTTCGTCTTCCGTGATGAAGCCGTCGCCGTCGACGTCGTAGAGGCAAAATGCGCGGCGGAGTTTCTGCTCCGAGTTGCCATTCATGACGACCGCCAGACATGTGAGGAACTCCCGGAAATCAATCTCGCCATCGTGGTCCGCGTCGATCATTCGGAAAACGTGCTCTCGAAAGCGAGCCGGGGTTCCGTAGGGGAAGAGGGCAGTGTACAGCTTTTCCACATCGTCGCCCCCCATTTTCCCATCGGGGAACTTCAGACAGAAGCTCCGGTACCAGTGCAAGATGTCATCTTCACTGAAACACGTAAGTCCTTGGAAATCCTTGAGTTCCGCCGGCGACATGCTCGCATCGCCTTCCTCACCAACACTCATCTCTTGTCCCATTGCTGAAACTTCGCGGTCTCGCTTTTGACAGCTGAAAACTCCGGGGCCGCTAAGGCTCGAGATACAGACGACACTCTCTCGTCGGCTCTATGCTATTTCGGTGACTACGTAGATCACTCACGGAGCACCAACAACGAAATCCGAAGCGAAGACAGCGTCGAGGAACGAGCTTCGAACAGGAGAAAGTGCGGAACTCGATCGGCTGTGACCGATTCCGCCGACTTCTCTGTGGGACAGCAGACGGCATAGCAGTGACTCGCCTCTCAGGATTAATGATTGCCTCTCTGAGTACTTCGATGAGCGTCTTGTTCACCTAATTCGGTATTATAACGATGACGAGCCGAAGCTGCGCACTTGACGTGAGTTGGAGCAGCCATCAAATGGAACTATTGCTCTGAGGCCCACGTAGCGCAAATCAGAACGGAGAGATAACGAGCGGATAGGCACTATTATACATTGTAGTATTTATTGTAATTATTGTTATTATCATTGTTATTGTTATCATCATCGCCGACATCACTGTCGACGTTGTCATCGTCGTCTCCATCATACTCAACGATTTCAACCATTCCGTCTGGAAAGGGAAACACCACGTCGGTCGGGTAGTAAGCGCAGGGAAGTGGATATGTTGGTGGTGATGGCAGAAGTTGACTAAGGAAGGATTTTGCGAGTCTCTCTGTCTGATTCCGATTCGGGTGCCCCCAGCTCCCAATTTATCATCCCTTGAGTCAAAATATCCGTCAGATTCTATGAAGCTCCTGATCGATCAATCATGATAATCGATCCGGTGCTCCATCCAGTCCATCTCACGCTCCGTCCGATCGATCAGATACTCAGTCTAATCGATCAGGCGCGAAACAATCGTACGACCTCCGAGCAAGGACTATGAAATCGAACTCCGACCCTAATCCTTTGAGTCTAACACGTAGCTGCATTTCTTGTGGCCAGGCAATGGTAGGTGGATTGACATCGGTTCGAGCTGAGCGGAAGCGCACACACAGGCACGTGTCGACAAGCTCTTGCACGCCTGTTGTACAGTCCTTCTGATTGTGTGGTCGGCCTAGACCCTAATTTCGCCACCTTAGAGCCGTGGAAAACACGTCACCTTGTAGGCGGGTTTGATACCCCCGACGAGGATCCGTCCCGCCTAGCGGCATTTCACAATATGAACATTCAAATCCTAAAACGTTCCATGGATCTCACTTTCCTTGCCATCGAGCCATCTAAGAGGTTGACATCAATCATGCTTGTCGTTGATCGGTAGGTTTCAGATTCTAGTGGCACTTCTCAGACAATGAATTCGCGTCGCTCGAACGCACTCCAAGCTTTCGACATCCTGGATTTTCATCGGATTCGAGCGCGAGACTCCCCGACGGAGGTGAAACGGCTACCAGCTGCGACGTTGTAGCCCGCCTTGGCAAAGTTGAACAGCACAAGTTTTTTTCTAGAACTTTTGCAGATTCGATCACTCCCAGTCGGTTCTCATCAGAGCAACTTTGAACTGGTTAAAAGTTAGTGCAGTTTCTCTTTACTTATCCTTCCTCTGACCGGCCGTCATGCTGCGACTCCCAATCGGATTCATGTGTTTCGAATTATGATGACTGATAATAATTATAGATAGGTCTCTCGGTTTCGACAGATTGTAATGTCGATCTTCGGCCTCGCTGGGGCGAGTTTGCGCCTAATCATTCTCAATTGACAGCAGTAATAATTATATTCTCCATAAATTCATAACTATAACCCTCATCAGCAGTGTTATTGGAAATTCAGATCCTCTCTTTGTCCTTAGGGTACAAGGTCGATCAATCGAGTCTCCCATCGTAGTGTTGCAGTCCTCGGATATTGCGTCATAACCTGGGATATAAAGTGCCGGAGACACAAAGTAGACTGGAACAAACGCGCGAATCGAACAAACCTCGACGATCACTCACTCGGTGGAGCGCTTGCCCTGCGGGTCAGACGCTTCTCCTCAGTCTTCGATTTTTTATGCCGCGAAGACAAACCCGTAGGGAGGAGAGTTTGGTATTCGAATCACTCGGTCACTTATGTGGCGGTGGCCCCGACCTCTCGCGAATATCTCTGCGGGCCCGTTCCCTATCCGTCAGCGAATGTAGCTCGCGGTAGAGACGATGATAGGAATTTCTGGAGTACCGTGTAGCTCGCAATTCCCGTGGGATTCGAAGTCTTTTCAACGAAGGGATTGCAGGAGAAGGAAGAAAGGCGGGCGTGTCGACGATACGAGCTCAATACAAAATATCCCATACGATGTGACGCTAGATTGTCTTGGTACTTTTTCCTTGACGTTAGCGATCGCTCACCGGCGTCCAAACGTGCATAGGTTCTCTCATTCATATTTCGTGTGTTCTCTCTCTCTCCCAGTCGGAAAGTCGGAATTCGGTGTGAGCTCGTTTGGGATTTAGGTAGAATGCTTGTCGGCCGGCAGTCCGATATCGCAAGGAGAGAAGATTGAGCAATCGACGTCAGCTTGAGATCCGTGCGCGGTGAAAGCTACCGTTCATTGCCATACCTATTAATTGTACGGTCGGTTAGGCATATACGGACGCTCGCCGGGAGTAGGCGGTGACGAAGAGGACAAGAGCTTCATGGAGCGATCTGGTGTCCGTCCTGAACTTGTCTTGAGATTTTACCGCTGATCTTCAAGACTCGACTTCTAAGGTCGACCGGCACGTATTCTGGGACTTGAAACTGCGAACGCAGGATCCTCAATGTGGGACACCCTCGAGACAGCTGTGTCGAAGACGATACCCGCCCTGACGAGAAGTCTTGCGATACGCGCTGCACCGGCGGCGGCTTTCGTTCGGGATTTCTGATCGATAGATGTCGCTCTGCTGACTTTATATTACCTTCGGCTCCGACAACCTGAAGGTCCCGCACCGTGAGACGATAATTATCGTCTGCGGTAGTGCATAGGGTCAGTGGAGGAGAGACTCTGCATTGTGACTCCGAATCGGATGATAGCTCATTCACTTTGACGCAGCATTCCAATCATTTGCCGCCAAGATCATCCGTTGACCGTCTCACTTCTCCCCGCCACCAGGGTAACGACCGCGTACAGAGTGGTCCGCTCACATACTGCGTATTGGAGGCTCCGAACTAACTAAGTAAGTTGTTTGTGTCAATCGGACTTGAGCTTCTAAATGGGCGCTTCGAAATCGACGTGTGGCCATGGGTTATTCGACGAGCAGCCCGACTCGTGAGGATATTCACTATTCAGCCTCGCTCTGTATGGGTAAACGAATAGTAGTTCAAAGACTTATACATTTACTATTATCGTTATCAGCATTATTATTCCTCCTAATCATCATCTGTACTTCTTCTTACCGTCGACGAGTATCAGTATAAAAACAAGCTTTTAGAGTAAGACTCAAACACACTCCTCCGAGTCCGGAGGAAATTCCGCGCAACTTGAAATTGTTTGTAGATAGATTTTAGAGCTAGAGAAGGTGTAAAGTATCCAACAGAAAACATCGGATCTTCCGCAATACAATGCTCAACACGCTATTGTTCGGTGAATCTGTGTACACAACAAACCGTGGACTCCTCTTCGCAGCTCACTCTACCTCATCCTCCCCGCTCAAAAGATTTTCCCCTTTTCTTGCTCAAGCTTGCTGCGGCAATCCAACCGAGGCGACTCTCGGGAAAACAGCGAGGCGAGAACTCGGAGAGTCCTGCCCGCGTGTCGATCGAACACTTTCATTGACCTCCTGGAAATCGAATGACCTCCTTCGTATGAGTACCCTCGGTCTGCCTCGTACGACACCTACACAGATGCCTCCGATAACGGTGGGCGAGAAAGTCTTATGATCTATAGTTGTGTTTAAAGAAATAATTCGTTTACTTTGGCAAAGGAGACATTAGTCATGCTACTTTTTCATAAACTTGTTCATTCAGATGTCATATGAAGGCCTCGCTTGAACTACCTTGCGACGGGTTCCTCCAAGGGAACCATTTTTTTCATGCTTTCTTTCGTTTCGTGCAAAACCGTAGAGAGAATCGTCCTCAAAATCCTCCGACACCACTCTCGTAAAATAATGCAATTCCAACCTCCTCGACGAGAGACGACAAAAAAAAACCTCGACCGGCGTATACGCGTGTTTCGTCGAGGATTACCTATCCAATAAACTCAAGGGATCACGAAATCACCCAGAAGTGCAAATCATAATGATACCGCTGGTGGGCCCAGTGGAAACTCTGGTTCTTCGAGATTAACGAGAGAGAGAGAGAGAGTGATTGAACAACAGCAACAGTTAATTAAAAGCCCTTCTTGCTGAAAGGTCCTCAGTACGTACGATCGATGGAATTCGCAAGTGAGAAAAAATATCGAGTTTGAAATCGGAATGAGACGTGAACAATGGGCATGCTGTCAATCATTAGGAAAATTACTCTCTCATGCTCATGCTTAGTCTCCGGTAGATCGGACTCTACTACTATCAGTGTCTCTCCCAACCAATCTTGAAGCTGCAGTTGAGCTTGGAGATCCCTTCAGAAAATGCCATGCGACGCGGGGCAAGGCAATATAGTATAGCTCTGCATGATGCTTGAACACAATTATTCGTATTGTCGGAATTCGCCGAAGAGAGCTCGCGCCTTGCTCATTCACACAGAATCATTCTGATCATGAGCTTCGAGATGTCAACTCAGTTACCGACAGTCTTCCCCACTTTCGCGACTAGACACTCCTCCAGATTTGGCTAATCATTCAAAGAATCATTTCGATCGATAACATAGCCACTGAACGACTCTGTGAAGCTTTAGCGCATCAACCCGAAGTAGTCGACATCACAAGGCAACCGCAGTGCTATATTTCGCGTCGTTACGTTATCGGTTTGTCGCATTTGGCCACTGAAAAGTTGGCTTCGAAGGTAAGAATCGAAAGTTTCTCAAAAAGTTTTGAGGGATGAAGTCTTCAGCGACCAAAAAACCCCGTTTGCATAATTCGTGAAATGCTCTCCTCAGAACGATCATCAATCGACATGAATGTTTAGAATTATTATCCCGTTTCGTAGATAAACCTAAGGAAGTCCCTAGCTTCTGCGATCGTTCTTCTCTATGGTGTTCGTCCAACGCTCATCTCTTCCAGTGACCCTCGATTATGTGGAAGTGTCACGAGGATCAACGGTGTGGTCACACCATCGGCAGTAGGCGTCGCGTCGCGACGATTGCTCTTGGTGAGAGCGACCCCGGCCCCCGCACGGAGGAAAGGCATTATTCTATTAGATCGTTGTTGCATGTCAGTGGCTGTTTCTATTCGCTTCCGCAGAGATTCCCCCGCCCCCTCCCCTCTTGGGGCTTCTTCTCGAGGTCGTACATATTCGTATTCCCTCCCGTCCGTCTCGTATTGGAGGGTTCACCCGTTGGCACGCTCCGTAGATTTCGGGATGTCTGGTATCGGGGTGGAAAACAACAAAGAGGAACCTAAAACATCGACGTAGTCAGAAGCTTTCCGTGAGGGAATCATTTCACATAGAGACTGAAAGTGACATTTTAGTAGTGAACGGATTTCCTAGCCAATGTGCGTTTCCAACAACGTGCCGCACTTCCTCGCACATATGCAATACATCCGAAAGAACTAGCTCCCCACCGTAACTCAGACACACGTGCACCAGAGCGTCATTCGAAACGAATGGAGTCATGCGACCTCGACCCTCACAGAGAGTTCGCTCGCGCGAACATTTTACAGCCATCCCGAATCAGGCACTGTTCCTCAGCGAGAAAGGAACGCGGAGACTGATGCTGCAGATTGAGAGTTGAACCCAAAGACTGTATCGACTCCTCGACCCTGAGCGCCGGACTCGACGAGCTACAGGCGGAATGACGCTCGGGAGTTCGAGAGGGAGGGAATCTCGACTACCGTCCTCAAGGATAGGTTATTCACGCTCCGTAGATGAAGTTCCCAATGCACATTGTTCGCATGTTTCGGATTGCTTTGATTTCGTTTGAATCGATCATTCCCTCGTTTACTGAAGCTTCAAGAAGCGTTGCGGCCGAGACACATATACCGCGTCGGAGCCTAAGACCCTTCTGGTTGTGTGGCACTGGCAGTTTGTAGTTTTTTTCTATCTCAATGTCGACCAGACTCTGTTGATCATGCTCCTCCTACTTAAGACACTTCATTATCGACGTTGTCCTCCATTCTGACGGAAGGACAGACGGACAGATAGATAGAGACCCCTGCTGGAGACATCTATGCCTCCATGTACCTCCCTTCATTTTTCCGGGCATGCATGCATGCATCCATCGATCGAGGACCCATCTCGTCACTTGTGATCACAACGATTCTGACCATCGGGAGAAGATGTGAGGGGAATCGGGTGGGCTATAACTCGTTAGAGCTTCATAACAATGTTTTCGATGGGGTTGAAGGGATCCTTCTTCTTTCCGCGTTTCCGCTGCTGTTTGAAAGCCTGCGAGTCCTTCTCCTCGGCTTGATCATCCGAATCCCCCCATGGGTCCGAGGGTAACGGTTCGAGGGTCACCCTGACGTCAGTGCCGTCTTCACTGTGAGAAATCATCTGTCTGCTATTCGTCTGCAATACGCACGGGAAAGCATTGGTGGCCGCTGAATGATGGGCTCCATGTAAAACGTAAAGAAAACCTCCTGGAAACGTGAAAATGTACGGATCAGTCGAGTCGCATCGAACAGGAGCTCCTCCGACACCAGGGCAGAGATGGAACGATCACTACAAAGAGTACGACAGATCGAGGGGCCTTAACCGGACGAAAGCCACGAACCTGCTATAAACCAGCAGAACATCGAGCAGAGATTGGTTGTAAATACATCTACAAACAGCAATACGTTCAAGAACGCTCCGAGCGCTGGGAGCCATGGGCTCATAGGGACCCGGAACATCAAAGCAGGTTTTCCTGGGGAAGAAAATAAGGCCATTGATTGTATGCAGTCACGCGACACGAACGCCAACTTCCGTAGATGCATTCGAACTTCCCGACGCTAAGATTGCCGGATGACGACACGGTCTAGCCAAGGCATAAAAGCGTAGGAAATCGCTGCCGGGAAACTTGCCTGATTTGTTGGGTCTATTTTTCTTTGGTATGACTTGTTTTTGTTGCGCCAGAGCTATCATCAGAACAACGGCACAAAGGGCAGCCGCAGCGGCACAGACGGCCAACGTAGCGAGAATCGTAGGGCTCAAGCGTAAACTGCATGAGAGGCCTTGAAGCATAACGGAGACACAGACGAAGCAAGCTAAAAGTCCCACGATGAAGTACTTGACACGTCGGGTTTTCCGTGAGAGTTTCACTCGCCTATGTGGCGGCAGGATAGGCAAACTCTCCTGAAAGAGAAGCATCCAATGAATATTTCCTCTCAAGGGTATTCCAGGGATATTCTCCAATGGTGTTCGAGCGTCGAGCTCTCAACGAACGCATCGGATATGCGGTGCGGGGGACGGTGAACGCAGAGAGCTTCGGGGGGAACCTCCGTTCAGGCTCACCTGTGAGGAGAGGCTGAGTTGAATTTTGTACTCCTTAACAATGTCATCGATGTCTTCTTCTTCCTTGAAGGGACAATCCTCGACCCTGTCCTCTTCAGCTGAATCGTTGTTTGTGTTACTGGCAGACAATTCGCTTTGGCTCTCGTAGACCGAGTCTCTCTTGGCCAAAATTGGGGTCTGTTCGTTGTCGGCACTGCCACCTGTAATTGAGTTTCGCGTTTCGAAACGTCAGTCTCCTGACCATTCCATCGCTCGTCGGCTGGCCCGATCAAACGGAGATGAACGAGGACCGATTGGGGATTCCCGAAGCGAGGGAGGGAGCGGGCGCGGAGACGACCGCTGGCTTACCAACAATGAGATTATACGAGAACACCGCTGGCTTGCGAGCCTCGACCTTGCGGTACCGAAATACGATGGTGCAGAAACAAATCAGGACATTCATCAAGACGGGTCCTGACGACATCATCATGACAAGTTGTCCCGCTCGCAGCACTAAGCCGGACCATATTGAAATCACCACCGCCACGAACAGATGGTGACGTTTGCAGAAGCGCGGGAAGAGCCCGTCATGACCGAGAGTCCGCATTATCTTGTTGAGCTCTGCCAGATTCGAGATGATCAAGAGGGCGAGGCTCACGGTCGAAGAGACTGGAATAAAGACAGAAAGGGAGTCGGTTTGTACCATTTCACTTCCTAGGCCTTGTGCTTCGATACTCCATCTCGCGTAATGTCTCCGACTAGAGCTGGAATGTTATGGAACTCACCCGTCACCACCCAGTTGATACAGATCGCGATCGACGAGCTCGACTGCGAGCTCGTTTGTGCTGCCAGCGGATCTGAGAGGAGCGCAGCGTCCGTTTTGGACAGGCTGCAAAGAGCGGCAATCAGGGCAAGGCAGAACAGAAAATTGCCGAACGCCGAGAGTACAACGATGCACGGAAGGTCTTTGTGCGGTTTGATTTTGTTTTTCTCAGGAGGGCAGCCGTCATTCGGGGTGGAGGCGGCGAGAGGGGAACCTTGCAGGGAGAACTGGGGGGCCAGGAAAATCGACACACATAGAACGGCCCCGGTGAGAAGCTGCGAAATAAATCGGGACCAATGAGCAGTTTTCACGAGGTTGGCAACGGCGACTCAGCAAATGATCCGATGTGTGTTCGGAGCTTTCCCTTACCCCGGTCGATTCGCTGTGTCTGAAAACGACTGCGGCGATCGTGTTGCCAAGCACTCCACCGGGGGGTGGCGCCGGCTTTATTGTCGAATGTCTCAGGAATGCGACGCCTGCCACGAAAACGCCCTCAACGAGTAAGGCCGTGGATATTAGCAGGAAGTTGACCCAAGTACGAACCCGTCCGTTGCTGGGATCCACGATCAGTCGACTCAGTGGATTCCAAGACATGAGCAGGACGCCGCACGGAATAACCACGAGAGCAACACCGAGATCCAGGTTGATCCCGGTCAGCCCTGCGAATTGGTCTACGCTAACGTTAGTCCCGTATCATCGCCAACGACTACGGGAATTGACATTCCAATATCAAGATAAGTCGGCAGCAGCATCTTCTCCGCATGCTTCCGTCGGCCGACCGAGCCAGGTCGGCCTTGGAACAGGGCGTAGCTTCTGCGATACACAGCCTATCTACATTGGTATGTTCGATACCTGATGTGAGCTTGTTGAGAGCGCCGTCACTCAGCATGTCGCAACATACGGCCAGTATCCGCGCGCAGAGGGCCGTGGCGCAGGTGTAATAAAGCACGGATATCCAGGCGGCGGAATACGCGAAGCCTTCATTCAGCCATTTGTACAGTAGTTCGTAGACCGAAGTCTCACGCGTACCATTTGCGACGTGGCTCACGAGCTCCGAGTAACAGAAGCCTGTAATTGAGAGGGGATTATGAATTTCGGAATACGTTGATGATGATTCCGAGGCCCGGAAAAGCTGCGGGGTAACGAGTTTTTTCTTAGGGGAGACCGGAGTTCGCCAGGCGTAAGTGACCGGAGCGCCGCCACCTCCCCCGTCGTTCATGGGGGAGTATGCGTGGGCTGAGGAAACCAATCATGATTAACTGTCAAGGCTTCTCTTTGTCCGCGCGAGGGATTGAATCTTTCTTGATTAAATCTCGCTAGTTTGGGGGAACGCGGCTGGGCGTTTGCGACGTTTCTCTTCGGGACGCCCGCACCCAGTTCCGACGGACTCAAAATAACGTAAGCAAAGCAGCCGATACTAAGTGGGTCCGTCGGAGATTGTTCCGCGATGCGACTCTTCGGCTGCGAGACGTTGTCCGGACTTCGTTTGTTTTTCCCTTTGTTTTGTTGTTTATTTGTTCGTCTGTTCGTCCGTTTGCCACTCGCTACCCCACTCTAGTATACCTCTGCGAACAAGAGGGAATCATTATTTGTATTCATACATCTTCGTTCTGGCCATCGGCCAACGCTAGATCGGAGGTTCCCGTCCTCCGGAGTACGTGGCGATCGCTGGTCTCTGCGGCTTATTAGAGTCCCCAAGCGACGGAGTAATAATTCGTTGGCGAGAACGCCCCGGTGCGTAAGGACACACATGAGAGGAGTCGCGATCGAGAGAATCCGTCCGGTCGAAATTCTCATCTTCGCAATGTAAAGAAACTACTTCCAGTTTTTCTGGGAGGACATTGGATCCGTGTACGAGCCGTCGACAACGGAGTTTTGCCCGCTTGTCCTCATGGCGTCGTATCGAACGTTTTCCGTCAGTCTGTATCGACCAATGTGACCTGATTGCAGCTGGAGACTTTCTTGCTCTCATTTCGATCAGGGGATTGTCTTGAGAGGCGGTAGAAATTATCCGGGCTCGGCACTGTCGGAAATCGTCAACGGAAGACCACAGAGCGACCGCCTGAGACATGTCTATATTTGGAGTTACATCGTTCAATGGGAAGCGGCGTTTTCGCAAATCTCAAACGCGCTCCAGCTTCCAAAGATAGCCCGCGGTCGGATGAGCTTCTCATCTTCTCGGCTTCGGAACCTCGAACACCGGCCCCCTCGAAGGCGGAGACCCTCATGAACGGGAGAATCCCTGGAGCTCCAAGCGTTCCAGAAACTCTCGGAAAGCCGCACTCTTTGCTGTGAATTGGGAGAGATAGACGTTGACTCGAGTTTCACCGCTGGAGTCTCGGATACGTGCGATGTCGTTCCGAGCCTCACGTACCTGAGAGCAGCGATGCGACAGCGGCCACCAGCAAGGAGGGAACGAGCGCTCCTTGAGGAACGTAATTGAACGCACAAACCACGATGATGAGCACACCGAAAGCGTAGCCTGGGCTGAGCGCCGTTGAGAACAGATTCAGTTTGCTCCGCTCACCGACACCGACTTCGAGCAGGGCAGCTTGCGAATTCTTCCGACGTGCCATCATGGAACAGGCAGCAGCGAATAATGGTCCGCGACGACCGATGAGCATTACCATGATCTCTTCAGTTGGCAGTACAGTTCATCATCACCGGCATTCGCCCATTTGTTCGTGGTAGACAGCATTTAGTTTCTCTGTTCCGCCGAGCTTTGCACGCAGGTTTTCTCTGTCGCGAATCTGTGTTGTTATCGTTGATTTTCAGCTGTTTACTCGAACAGTTCGACGAGTTCCTTCGCCGTCGAGCCGAACGGGTGCCAGTTGGCGTCGACGAGTTTCGTTGGCAGTTTCGATGGAAAAATTGTAGGAAGGAATGCTGCTGCTGCTGCTCGATCACTACACCACACCACATTCAACATCCATCCTGCAGGCCAGCAGCCATCTTTGTTGTGTGGTCGGGGGAGCAAGAAGCAGGGCCCTTCGAGTCTGCGAGTGCCCTTCGAAGGAAGAGGAGACGAAGGCCAGTCGGCCTCTCCAAGGCCGCACTGCATCCAGCAGCCGCCAGAGGGAGCCACGAGGCTCTTTTTTGGGCCGAAATTCCTAAATAATCTTGCCGTAGGCCGCTTCTGCCCCACTTGCCGCCGTCGACTGAATCGTCCTCTCGGAACGAGAGAGAACTCGCGGTTCTTTTTTCCGGTCGACAGTCGAGCCGATGCAACCAACAACTGAACTCGGCTCTGCTGCGGGCTATCCCACCCCCATATCGCAGTTCTCGTGCCTGCGGCCTTCATTGCGGACTTCGACGGATTCTACTCCACATTCAGGAGATTCCGATAGGAGCATCGGGAAAAAATAGTTTTTGAGAGGAGTACATACTCGAAACAGTATCCCGCTTAATAATTTGCACGAGAACTCTCGCGCCCTGCTCGCAGCTCCGATCTCTGACGCTCCTGAACGACGGGAGGATTATGAGAGACTCCCCGAATGCGTACAGGGACGTAATCCTGATGTCAATCGACAAGCGTCAACGCTTATCATCACTGACCCATGTCGGGACACCAATCCCTGTAGCAATCAATTACAGGAGCGATGACAGATCCGAAGCGTCGTTGACGGCATCGTCGTCATTTTCTAAAATAATCTGTGGAGGCCGCAGTGAGCAACTCTCCGCATGGGCGCTTTACGGACGACTTGCTCCCCAATGATTCCCCCTCGTTTCCCGCAGTCGAGTTCCGCTCCTATGGAGCGCTCGAAGAAAGAGTTGGTGCCGGGGAAGAGTTTCTATCATGAGGCTGCGACGCATCTGGGGCACGGAGTGCGCTGTTGCAGCGGCAACGCTCCCGGAGTCGTCGACCCAGCGCTTGTTGGTGTTCTGATCGGCTGATGGCGCGAGGCAACGCCTCGGATGGACATGAACGCCCCCGCTCGCATACCCAACATCCTTTTTGGTCTCTCGTCTCCATGTGCTCAAAATTGGGCTTCGAAAAGAAAACGGCGTGGCGACTCGAACCGCAGCCAGTCAGTCGCCGTCGTCGTGTGAAGCATAGGCGACAAAAGTTCTGCGATGAACATCATTGGCAGTGGGTCGCACGGCCCCACTTTTTTCGAAGAGACGTACGAGGGCGCTGCTGAGTGCCGCACTGGCCCCAGCCAAGAGTCCCTTTCCTCGCGAGGGCCTCTTGTTGCAGCAGAGGAGAGTGCAAAGCTTGGCTCCCCCATTGGTGGCCATCGGACCCGACTGGCACATGCACAGCAGCCTTCGCTGTAGCCGCTAGAGGAGAGGTAGATCTCGGAGTCTGAGAGTGCCGGCGGCGGTCATTCGAACGCACGCACGCGCGCGCGCCCCTTCAACAACAATAGTGCTTGGGCTGCGCTTGGCTAGTGCTGCTGCTGTTGTCGCTACTGCGGAATCCTCTCTGAATTCCGAGAGGATATACGGCCAGCTTGGCCTCTTCATTCGCGGAAGGGAATTCAATCACCCCATCCACTTTCCCTCAATTCCTGTTGCTAGCGCCAGTCAGCAAGCCAAGAAAACCTCCCGAAGATCTGAGTGATCCTGTTCCCGCTCAGGGTTGAGGAGGAGCACAGGCGGAGCTCAAAAGTCCACCTCAGGATAACGAAGTCGGAAACAAGGATTCGGCGGAGGTTCCCATCGATCCCTTCAAGTGAAGTCGTTCAGAAGCCGAGGAGTTCGTGCCGTGTGTTCTCTGTTCATCGTTTTTGGGGAGATACTCGAAGACGTCATCGCTAGTGCTACCCGCTCAAGGAAGAACGCGGCTACCCTTGTTCTTATTTAGAGTGCGAGCGCGCACGCTACTCTGTGTGTCTGTGTGTGTGTGCTGAGTGTCGTCTACGTGCAGGAAACTCTTCAGGTGAGTACAAGCGGGAACATGTTGTCTCGTCGGAGCTGGTCTCGGCATAAATCATGGTTTCGGCATACCTCTCCCGAGACTCAAAACGATGCGGATACATTCTCCTAAAAGCTGCTTGCAGCGAAATTCCCTCTTCTGTCCCGCTCCCGCCCCTCACGACAAAGTTTCAACCGCATAATTGATAAGCAATATTTGCAAAACTTGAACAAAAGGGATGCTGTTCTCGCATTGCTCAGGATCGATGAGTGGCTGCCCATCGCTCGTACCGGGGAACACGGAAACATTGCGGCAAACCTGACTGCTTGTTCTCCGAATTTCCCGGAGCGTGAATTGAAGTTCAACACTGCAAAAGTCTGTGGAACCTTGTCGTTGCTTGCGACAGCTGATGTTTTCGCTGGCGGCCTAAATTCAATCGAACCAGTCCTCGGTTCTAGGGATCGGACGTTCTTCTTCCTGGCTGCGAGGAACTCCTCCTCTCGCTCTGTTTGAGCGGGGAGTCGTTCGCATGTGGAGTCCGATCAGTCCTATGTTTGTCTGTCTTAATGAAGTTACAATCAGGCTAAGTAAGTTTCGAGACCAGAATTCGTTGAACATCCGCCTAATGACGCGGCGGCGGTGCGATCCATAAGGTCATGGCCTTCCAAATCTCCAACAGCGTGCAGAGCGTTGTATTTGCGCCCATGTCCCGTTTTCGGGATCCGCGCGTTTGACCCGTATCCGATGGCTGCTGTTGTCGTTTGCTTGGAGTATAAAAATGACGCTCAGAACAATAAAATGGCCCGCGGATATTGCATTCGTACGAATAAGCCGTCCCGACTCAGATGTGAGTCCGTCGGGCCTATCTAACAGGTTGCATACCTGTTTGCTTCGATGGTCAGCCCAAGGTGTTCATGCTTCCGGTATGGCAGCGGTACGGAAAACATCGATTGGTGCAGAGGTTCCGGTTTCTCCATACAAATGAATTGGAAATGAATCGAAAGGCCTCTATGATGAGATGAGAAGCGATTTCTCTCCCGAAGCGAAGAAATTCAACTAGAGGCGGAGGAGGCTCGCAGCGCGGTTTATTGGCTGTGAGTTCATTCAATGAGATTTGAACGGATCCGATGATAAACGGATTTCGCGACAGTTGACCTCCCTTTGCATCGATGCTGCCCGGCGAGAGCCGAGGGTCGCGTCGTTTCGTCTTGGTCGAGGTTTAACTGATTCCGAAGTCTCGCCTGGACTTCACAATGCAGAGATTTTTGAGGCGAGCATGGAACACGAAAGATCCACTCGGCACCTGGAAACCCCGAGCATGCTGACGGCTCCATAGGTTACGCGCCGATGTCCGGAGACGGAGGAGCGTCTGGAGCCACGAATGCTGTCGGAAAAGAAGAGACGCGCTTCGCATTTGACGGTCCGCATTCGTGAGAGGGTCCCTCCAGGTGACGACGCGACCGTAGAGGAGAGCTCCGAAAGTAGATGTTCGTCACCGCCCAAAGTGGAGAAGGAACCGGGGGGTGGTTCGGCCCGCGCACAAATTGAGGCAGCAGTCGTTCTACAGTAATTTTTTGGTTCTGTCGCACGAGAAGTGGGGGCGGTGTTCATCAAGGCGGTCCCGGCGGGGCATGTGTTCCGGCCGAGAAAGCCCCACGAGAAGTTTTGTTGGTGTTCCATTCCGCCTCAGAGGTACGGAGTGCGTTGTACGTGGCTGGCCATTGGAATTCCAAATGTGCCTTCGCTGTTTTAACTTGTCTCTGATCCCGAACAAATAAAGAAGAGGCTATCCGCGCGGCGGCTTCTGTAGTCCTTGGGAGAAGCGTCGAAGTCGGCATCCTGTGATGCTTCTGACTCAACGGGACTGCTCCCACAACTGGAGGAGGTCCATCATGAACGGTCAAACGAGCATCCGGCCAGGAAGGATTTTTCGCGAGAGAAGCGTTTGTCTGCATAATTCATGGCAGTGGGATTCGACCAATGAAATATTTACATTCGGAATCTCCTCGAGAAGCTACTCGCATCCGCGGAGAGAGTACCGTACGAATCGATCCGCCGCCATTTGTCTCTGATCGTGAGATTTTTGGCAAATTCCTTCGATCGACCGCTCACTCAACAATTGAAACAGAGCGGAGAGAATCATGTGAGCCCGCAAGCGCTCGATCGCTGTGTTGACGAAATTAGTCCCGACCGGGTGAGTCTCGGAGGTACCCGATTCCACGCGACGGGGCGGTCAATGAAAGCAGTTTTTATGTGCACATACATGCATATTCCTTTGATCTCCGCGACGTTTATGGCGGCGACCGCGGGTCGCGCGAGCGAAAAACGCCGAACATCCAGCTATATTCTTCAGCAGCATATTTATTTATATATATTCGGTGAATGGGGGCTGCTGCGGCAGACTCGCGATTCTCCGAAGCTCCCTCACAGAAGCCTCCTGATCAGCGTTTGAATAGACGCCTAGATGCCCCGTGATGGGATCTCTGGAAGCTTGGGGGACTGCCAGTCCAAAACGTTTTCCCTGTACCTGAGAACTTTGTGGCGGGGGATTCCGAGGAGAAGCTCCCGGACCGCAAGTGGCTGCGTGATCGCTGCGATTGTGGCATTGTTCAGCTGAGAGATCGCAAATGAAAACTCTCGGCCAGTAGACGTGACCGGAGGTCGATGGTGAAGGCAAGGTCGATGCGATCACGGGTATGGGCACCGCGTGGGGCCACA